TGTTTACCGAAACCCATTCGAAATTTCTTTTTTCTTGCAGTTTGCGTGCAAACTCTCTCCGAAAATGTTGTAGTAGGTACTGCACGATGCAAATTAATAAAGGAACCACTGAAGTTTGGAATTAAACGGTAATTAAACCAGCGCCTTCGATTCATTTGGCATACATACGATTTTTTTTAATAATGAAACTAGTGGTGGTTGGAAAGAATATGGCATTGTATAGGATTATAAGTTTAGCTGTCCGTCAATTTTTTCTTGATCTAACATTTAGCTCTAGACGCCGATGCCAGAGAACGTTTCTGGCCAGTATTAAATAATCACTGGACGGCCGTCGGACCAGTTGCGGCTTGTTCAGTTTCTGCATCGCATTAATCTCGAAGTGATCCACCTAGGAAGCGATGCGAACGGTGTCGGTGCGAATAATAATTTATTCGCTAAGGGAAACACCAAGGTCAAGTCCGATGATTTATAAAACCCTTCCTCTCCCCCTGCGAGCCTAATTTAAATGTAATATATTTCGCGTGGAACAAGTGAAGTATTTCATTATATTGTACATTAATTTAGCCCGCTTGTAATTTAATAACGTAGATTTATGCCGTATCAAATAGTTTTATTACCGGTAAGCAAAGACTTGAAGATTTCGCATCGGGAAAATAAATTACTCTGGATATTAAAGATGGTTAAAGTAATGCGAGACACATAATTGTGTAATTGTGACAAATAGTACATGGTATAGTACAAATTACTGAACAAATATCACATAAATAACACAATTCTTCATCAGAAATTAAAGAACAATTTTAGTTCTAATGCTCAATAATTTACGGCGTTAAAATCTTATTCAGACTATTTAGTAACTAATGCATCGCTGTCGACAAACGTGTCCTAAACGAGCATTGACGATTCAAAATTACAGCAAATTAATTCAGAGATAAATTCAGGAAAGAGCGAAATATTCCCGACACGTCTCGATCATTCCAGGAATTTCTGGAAATCTCCGCGGAAATATAGAGTAAATCAAGAATGTTATCTTAATGCTTACTACACGTTTTCCCCTTTGGAGTTTACAAAATTTGGTTAATAGTTTATTTTAATTGAAACATTAACGCTCCAAAGAGACTCTACTGTTGCTAGTGGATTATGTAGGAAATGTAAATTTTACCGAGGATATACTTACAAAAATCCTCCATAATCGCGATGAGGAGTGATCCAAAACAATGCACAAAAAACTTTATATAGCTGTTTTCGTACAACAGAACAGGCCATTCAATTGAATGTGCATAAGCCACTTGAATATGGAGTTGTATAGAATTACCTATAGATTAGTTTTGCTGAAATAATCTGGTTTAAGTGCCCTGCATTGTTCAATTCGTCCGAATGTGAATTTCAGTTTCCAGATTACCATAGTCGGAGTTTTTACTGCAGGTATACTTGCTATCAAATTATATTTAATTATACATATATATCGCGCGGACAGGAAAACCACCTGAAAACTACAAATAGCTTATGCTATTGTTCCCGAAATTTGAATTTCCCGACCAAATCGCAATATGAGATCGTTTTTCACATAAACCACTTAAACGAGAAATACTCCAAAGTAGGTCTAAACAGAAAAGGGATAAATGCGAAGAGATAAGGGATGCGGAAACCAAGGGAAACAATCCCTATTGTGAAAAACCGCGTAATTAATTAGGAAGTTTAATTTACCCAAATGGCGGGATGTTTTTGAAGAATTCGAACGTATTAAAAATATTCTGAAAATTCGTCCTATTTTCCAATTAGCACCCAGAAGGTGGGTGTTTAGTATTTATATTAAAACATTAAAATTATAAATTTCAAATAAAAGCCTCAATAATTTACACCAAAGTTACTGAAGGAGTAATTGTATAAAGGTTATTTTTTACACCTGATAACATTATTCCAAATTTAAACATAGCTACTTTTACATGATGAAATAACGTTAAATTTATAACTGTTAACAGTGGTTTGAGGGTTGTAATAAAACGACAAAAAGCAGCTTAGGCACACACCTGTCGTTTCTCTCGAGTCTTTCATCTAAGTTCGAATCGTTCATAAGGCGTATTCCGTATGCTCCGAGTTGCATGCATTCTCCGAATCCACTCATTCGTTTACTAATCCTGTTTGTTGTAGGTATGTTCCACGGTTTCGGGTTTATGGAGGAAACGGAGAAGAGCTTTTCATGTTTATGTGTTGTTAAATCCAGTTATGATTCGAATGGAGCCGGCGAGAGGGAATATCGAAAGGTAAGTGAAAAGAATCCGAAACGTTTAAGCGTTTTCTAATGGGCTTAAATTCTTTATCGTTTTCGTTGGATATGTTTTTTTGGGCTGAAACTTTTTTATTGCTTTACATAGGTACTTACTTACTTATAAGGGAATTAATGCTACTTTATTATGTTTCCCTCCAATAGCCTTAAGATGAAATTCTAAAATAGGTACTGGGCGTTGATAAAGATAAACAGGAGGTAATGAAAAAAATAATTAAAATTATTGCATCAGAAGAAGAGAACAGATGTAAACAAATATTAATTACCTCATATAATATTTTCTAAATATAATCATCAAACTCCAATAATAATTTAGATCTATTAGAAAACTAACTTAAAAATAGTACTAATAGTGATAAAAAGTTTCAATTTTCCGAACTTACAAATCTACCAATCCACTTTTTTCCCTCCCTTTAGTCAATCGCGATCTCCCCAGAATACTAATACAGCGAATCAAGGAAAGTATTAATTAGTAGAAGTTTGGAGCGGCAAATATTATAACTTCCTTAACGAACTCAAATTGTGTTTGTGCGCTTGATTAATGTATTGATTACACAACCCCTTTAAATTTGTTAGAAGCTTCTTCATCTTCATTAAATACATTTCGCTTTAATTAACTGTTCAAAACTCGATACTTTTTTTCCGATCGCGTTTTATTAAGTGCGCCTACTTTTGGGAGGAGTAATTAATTAACTAAATAATGTTCATAAAACAAATTTCGTAATTAATAGGATTATTGTAATCGAGCACATACGGGGTGTATCTACCAAAAAAAAGAGATTTACATCAATTAAAAACGTTTTTAAGAAATTAACCTCTTTTCTCTGAATCAATTTGAATTGTTTTGGGAAATGTACAGGATGTCCAACTTAACTTAAAACAAAGTTACATTCCTAAAAAGTTATAGACCTTCAAAGTGGAGTTACAAATTAAAAAAAAATAATATTAGAACTTAAAACAACTAAATTTGGTATACGTTAGGAGTGTACTAAGAGCATTAATTGATAGTTAGGAGAGATCAATTTATTTATTTTAAAGGGTTCGTCAGGAGTGATGCTCCCTTAAAATATTACAGATTTTTTTTACCTGATGGATGATGTAAAAATTAGTTTATTTCATATCCGGTGATTTCATTTTAAAATTCATTTAAAGTAAAAGTTGGGTTAAACAACGTATATTTTAGGCTCCCCTACACTCTCTTTCTCTGCATGTCGGTTCGTATGCGGGACGCCCTGTATACTGTCATCAGCTAGTTAATTTGATTAGTAAAATTTAATTCGTTAATAAATTTGTGTTAAAAAAATACACCCCATGTAATTATAGCGAGTAAAATTATGAAAATATCATCTGCAGGCCTCGTCTGAATCGGCTGGCCGACCCTGCGTCCGTTCGAGGGCAGCGCGTGATGCCGCCCCTCTCGCCGCTTCTCGACATATTAATTAAATTGTTTTGATATTTTTCATTATTCATTTCGATAATTACAAATTCATGAGGGCGGTGCGCGTACCTTGTTTTCCAATTTTCGATATATATGCCTATTTTTACGGGCGAAATGTTATCGGTGAATAATTTAATATCGGCGAAACACGGGCAGGTGAACGCTCAATGACTGCCTTTGCTAGGGAAACAATTTGTCAGTTTTTATGTCGATTTGATAGCCTTTTTTTCATCCCACGTGGGGAAATATGCATGAAAATGTATAAAAATAATGTTAGAAAACATTGTGAAAAACTTGCTACTGTAGCAAGCTTAATCTAAAAGCTCAATTTTCCGAAACTTCTTGCAATGTTGAAAGATTTGTGTTGTTACAATTACAAAGAATCCAATCCTTTGCTGGTTTGCTTATAAGAAAGGGTTATTGTTGACTTTTTTGGATCATCGTGTATATGAAAATAAAATGTAAATTCAGTACATTATTGTCTCGATTAATGAGCCTTAAAAGGTAAACTATCCGATTTATATGCATGTTTAGTTCAGGCATAAAAAATGCAACTCCGCGTTGTATAAACGTTGAAAATTAAACAATTTGAAATTTGCTCGACAGACCGTACTTTATTGTAACGGCAAATTAATATTTTTGTTGACGGTTGCGTGGAAAAGTTAACAATAGAATAAGTTTTTAATTTTTGGCCGCTTGCTTTTGTGACGTGACCAAATAAACGTGAATTTTTAATTATCGGCCATCGATGCCTTCGGGCTACAGAAACAGAATTAAATTTCCACCTATTGTTTAATAGCTAACTAATTTTCAATTGTTGTATGAATATTCAGATGCGAATAAATGGAAGCAAACTTCCGAAAAAAAAACCGGTTGTGCTGCAGAAATTTTACAAATTGGATTCGAGAATAAATCGTATGAATCGAATTTTATTATACACAGTATTTTAAAAAATATATCCTTTGATGATTAAAACATAAAATAAAATATTTTTTTCATAAAAACAACAGTTTTATTAAAAAATAAAAATTTGCCTACTCAACAAATAGAGTATTGGTCTAGTGATGAGTTAGAGTAATAAGAACGCTTATAAATCCAGAAAAATACAGTTCTTTAAAACCAATTTAGTTAGCATTTTTATTCAAATTATTGTCAGAAAAACATGTTCCTATAACTCACACTTTTTCTATAGCCTTCTTATCTCTCTAACCAAACAGCTCGCACTAAAAAGTATCACTAAGAAAATTCGTTCTATAATAACTTTAAAACTTCAACCTATTGTTGCCGACCATCTAATTCCTGAAATACATTACATTAATTTTCACACAAAAACTATTGAAATCACCAATATCTTACCACTAAGCTACCATCTTGCTGCACCGTCACCATAATCTCATTCTCCAATATTTCAACATTCCTAACTTTCTTGATGGTACTGCCCGCGTAGCGTTGGGACTCTGGCGGCAGAACCCATTGCATAACAGGAGATATCAATTCCGGATCCATGGTACTTATATCAGCCTTACCAGTCAATAAACTAACTGCAATTCCCACTATTAAAACGCTCAACACTCCCACTGGGGTTATCCATAGGAAGCTTAATCGAAACAGTGGAAAAATATCCGATTCATCCGGATAAACAATCTAAAAAAATCATTTTATAAAAGGTGTAATTTTATCGAGAATTGTAACATACTTCTGGTATAACAGTTTTGTTACTAATGTTGTATTTGTCGTAACACGTTTCGTTAACAAAAACCGGCAAACGACGAGGAACGACATATTTCGCAGCTGCCACGTATTGGCTACCGTAAGATACAAGGCCGGACATAAAAGCGCCAGCGATCGCACCGCAAATAGCACCATAGGAATTAGCCCAAGGGACCAGCATGCCCAACGTAAATACCCCGCATGAAGCACTGGCCGCTATGGAGGTCAAGGAAGACGCCAACTGCAAAATAAGACATTGACGAAAATGTGGAATTGTTTAAAATTTATATACTTACAGCTAGCACACCACCCATATGTTCCACCACATACATGAACCCAACAGCAACTACCCCTAGTATTAGAATGACGGTTTTCACGAAGATTTTTGCCTTTCGCTCAGTTAGAGTCATCCTCAAGCAACCCTTTACGAAATCTTCTAGGAGTACTTGAGCTGTGGAATTCAGTACTACTGAAAGCGAACTATAATATTGAATTATTAATCTTGGCTCAATTACACATAGTTGTCAATACTCACCTTAAAGCTGCTCCGAATACACCAGCAATGAAGAGTCCAGGTACTCCTCTTAAATGCCCCACAGTTTCCATAACGAACAGCGGAAGGATTTGATCGTCAGCTTTGATCCTTCCCATTGATAGAGGATCGCAGTCATAGTATGTAGCATACACTAGGATACCAGTGTAGCAACAAATCCATACGAATGCTGACACGCCTATGGTAAAGAACAGTACAGATCTAAAAAAATGTTAGATGGATGAGGATGGAGAATGTTTAAACATAACTACTTACAGTTTTGACTGTCTTACTGTAGGTAATGACAAATATCTCTGAACCATGGTTTGATTGACCGAATTGAAGCAAGTCCAGAAGGTAAACCCACCGATTAATACACTGAACACGGTATACCTCTCGTATAAACTCGGATCGAAGCTGAAAATTTGAATTTGAAATTCGGGTTGAATTTAATTTGAAATAGTCTTACTTGAAAAATTCGAATCTGTTGCCTTTGCTGGTCAAATTGATGATTTTACTTGGACCACCTACTTGAATTGTTCCCAAAACTACAACTAGTATCACTGATATGAACATTGCTATGACCTGCCATGAATCCGTCCAAACGACAGCTTTAAGTCCTCCCTGGAACCAATTGATTTGGAATTGGAATAGAATTCTTACGTAAGAAGCCGGGAATTGTACTTAAATTATCTGTATAAAACTTACTAAGAAAGTATAAAAAACGCAAACTACTGCTACAATTGTACCAATGAGGTGGATATTTATTGAGGTAACTAAAAACAAAAAAAAAGTTGGTAACTATATTTCTTATTTTCACTATTATTCTTACCTTGATTAAATGCTAATGATGGAACATAAATAATAATAGGTAAAAACATAATCTAAAAAAAAGAAATTAGTGACACATACTTATCGTATCGGTAAAAGATAGAATCAAATAATAACAAACTTGATTCCAAAAATTAGAAATCCAAATTAATTAAAGCAATCTAAATACATATAAATAAAGGAATATTTTCCATTATTCCATATTCTCTTCTTCACCCCTATTTGGTAGATGAATTAAAACTGTAAAAACGAATATTTCTTTATGATATAGAAATACCCTAAAAATAGAAATTGTTCTATTTTTTGTCTTTTAATTGGAACTCTGAGTATTCCATTTCATATCATTAATAAGGATTTCTACAAACAACTTCAATAAAAATTAAATTTTCTAAGATCGTTAAACATTTGATTCCATTTTATCGCATTTATAATACAATATAAACGAACACTTTAACTCTACTTACTTCATCTAAAAGAAATAATACTGATGCTATTGTTCTAACAACCCTGTTGAATCTCAATTCGAGGTACTAAAAGAAAATAAACAAATTAATAAACTAGACACTGAATAATTGATCAATCCATTATACTACCTCTATCCTGCATCTCAAAATAAGAAAATAACTCAATTGTTGGGACACCCTATGAGTCTTAAATGTATAATTGACTTTACTTTTAGTATTTAGGTACTTACCTCATAGGAAGAATTAACTTGTAATTTCAAAAATACTGGAAGATATACTGTTGATACTGTTAACCCGCTTAACCATATCGCTATTATTATAAACCAATACTGCGTTCCGAATAAATATATGTCAGAAGGCGTTCCCAAAATTGTAACACCAGAAACATAGCTAAAAAATACACGATAGAAAATTATTTAAATTCCTGTTGGATATTTTTTAGTTTACCTAGCAATTAGAGATAGAGCGACAGGAAACGATCTTAGATTTCTGTTTCCCGTCAGGTATTCGCTAAGAGTTTGGCTGGTTTCGCTTTTGAAATATTTGCCCCTGCACCCGAAATAGAGTCCGGTGAGGGCAGATAGGAGCAGCATAGACCCGAACACCGCATAATCTGCTATTTCGAAATGGTAAATGTCGTTGAGAGAAAGTAAATTTTTCACTGTCATTTCCCTGAAACAATAAAAAACAGTTAAATTACACTCTAAATGAGTTAAAAGTGTTATTATCGAAATTAATAGGGGAATATTTATAATTCAATAAATAATATTTAGTTTATTCGAAACTTGCACAAAAAATACCACAATTTTCCTATTAAAATATTATATTATTTACCTAACACTTTCTAGTATAAATATCGACTAAATTATAAATATAGTGGAATATTTCGTTCTTATCAATTATGTACTTTCATTAATACATGATGAGAATTATATTTAATAGGTAAGTGCATGTGTGACACAGTTTTTAATTATTATTTTCGAGAAAAGCAATAATTAAACATGTTATTTTTCGTTATTATATGCTAACAGAATTTTCAATGAAATTTTTACGTTTTAATATTTTTTCGTATACGGATAAATATTTTTATCTATCTGTAGGTACCTCAAAAGATATACTTTACTTACCCTAAAAAATAACTATCTTAACATGATATTGAATGAGAAAAAGATCAAAAATTGTTTTGTTTATGATGGTAAAAACAAATTTTGATAAAGCTGATAAAACTATAATCAATTTACACTTGTTCTACTTGATTTGCTAACGAATCACTCTACTTCAAATCAAGATAAACACATGAGTAACAGACAATTAATGATCGGATCAGATCCTATTGTCTCAATAACGTGATGAATTGACCTCCAAAATAAAATATTTTCCGAGTTGCAAATTTATAAACGTACGTAACTATCTAGTTACAAAGTTCAAATAGTAAAAAATCTTAATAATAGGCTAAAAATATATTAAAATGCCGCTTAGGTAATTAGAAATATGATAATATCGATAGTTCAAACAACTTGTATTATTTATTTGCCGTCCCATCAGCACCATGTTTGACTACTTTTGAATTTGCCAAAAATAGGCAATTATCTTTTCTATTAATTATGTAAGGATACATAAGATTTATACCAATGCTAATTAATACAAAAACATTTCAATCACAGACATTGGTTTTTTTTATTATATGCTTGATTAAAATCCTGTGTTATAAAAATATCACATTATAAAATAATAAATTATAACCGATTGTACTAATCAGTATTAAAAAATCGTTTTGGATTGAAAATTTTATGTCGTAAGGACGCACACGCTTAAGCCGGTCCTGTTGAAATTTACACAAAATCGATAAAACAGTTCCCTACATTACCGACTCCTTCAAAATTAATGACGTATGAAGTTGACGCATGAAGTCATGAAGTTGTCAAATTTAATAAACTAATGGAATTCAATTTACGAAGTTGTTTGTTGTTTGTTTATCGAGATTACAGTAATACATTATCACACACTGTTAATGCCAGGGATTATTAACTACGTACGTGATAACGACAATTAGGTAGAAGATGGCGGAATCGGTCACATTACAGGAGCAACAGGAGGGCACCTCATCATCGACTGTCACTTTAGTGGAAACTGAAACTACGGATCACGAACAGGTACGTAGATGTTAACACACACTCGCACGTTACGCAAATGTATCGGCCTACCTTACGGTGTTCTCCGTTGTTTACAAAAGCGTACACCCGTCGATATCTATCGGTAGAAAAATGCGGGCGAAACGAAGGCCCTTTGGGCGGAATCCGAGTGATGGATTTAACGCGAATCATCGCTGGGCCGTTTTGCACGATGGTTTTGAGTGATCTAGGTGCCGAAGTGATTAAAATCGAACGACTCGGATCGGGCGACGAGAGCAGAAAATGGGGCCCGCCTTTTGTAAACGACACTTCCAGCTACTTCATGGCTGTAAACAGAAACAAGAAAAGCATTTGCGTCGATTTGAAGCAACGAGAAGGTAGAAATATATTGTACGAAATGTCAAAGAAGAGCGATGTTCTCGTGGAAAATTATGTGCCAGGGAAATTGGATGAATTAAAGCTGGGTTATGAGGACTTTAAGAAGATATCTCCTCATATAATATACTGTTCGATAACCGGTTATGGATCGGAAGGACCGTATAAATTTCGACCGGGTTATGATGTCATTGCGGCTTCTATGGGAGGTTTGTTACATTCTACAGGACCTATCGATGGAGAACCTGTTAAAGTTGGAGTTGCCATAACTGATATTACTACTGGTGAGATGAATTTTATGATTTATGTGTAACTTACCTATAGACTTCATCATGAAATGAAGTTATTGGTATTGACTTATTTCTTTGATTCAAAATCATTCTTATGCATTTAAATTGTGGATAATATATTCACAAGTTTCGCTGCTTTGTATGTTATCAGCGAAACAATTTTATTAGTTTGGATTAAGTAATTTTACTACCATTTATTCAGGTTTTGTTTTTATTAATATTGCTCATATTAATTCTCATTGAAGTAAAAGTACCTCTATTATTTTAAATACTTACTCTGTATCCATTCCCATTGCTTAGTATCACAGTATTGAAGTCAGAGTAATCTAATTTTTTACATTGTAACTTGTAGGAAATGCCATTTAACAAGGCAAACTGGCCTAAGTACTTATTACTTTAAATCATTTCAAAATTATATAATGTCGGTATATCTTTTGTGCAATGTAAATAATTACAAACAAAAGTGATAAAAGTTATGAAAGATTAGGACCCCTCATTACAAATATGGGATATCTGAATATCCATGTTATCTTATACAGGGTGTTCAGAAAATAGATGTCAATAATTCAGAATCGTATAGATGACATCAAAATAAGGGTACAACTTCATATAAATTTTGTTCATTTGAGCCCACATCTCAATCTAAAAATTTAATTTTTTTTAAACCATTTTATATCGACTTCAGACTAGAGTACATTTTTGTTAGTTTATCGATTAAAAAATGTATTTACTACATGTTTACATTATGCAGATTGTCCCCATACAAGTTACGAATTGTTATTCACTGGGAACACGTCCAGGGAGTAGTGTAGGATTCAGTTTATCACCAAATTGGGCATACGGTTGTAAACCTCAAAAATTTTATATGTATTGTTCCTATGTATAATTTGGAAATAAAACATGAAAATAAGTTTTAAATTTTCAACATTAAAGGCCGCTAGCTCAAAAATAGGGGCTTAAATGAACAAAATTTATATGAAGGTAACCCTGTTTTGATTTCTTCTATACATTCTCGAATTATTGACATCTATTTTCTAGACACCCTGGATGTATTATAATTATTATGGGAAAATCGCAGTTTTGAAAGTACTTTTAAAAAATTAATTTAACATCTCAATCCACTTCAAAATTACACTTCCAAAAATTGATCATATCTTCATTCATAAGATTAAATACATATATAAAACCCAAGACACAACAGCCCCGAGAAAATCGCCCAAACACAAATTAGTCTGAGATAAAACAGTTCCAAAAAGGTCATAGAACATTCAAAAAAATATTGAAAAGAATTAAATAACTCCCATATAGTCTGTACATGGTTTTGTATATTCATCATTGCCTTCTTTGACATTTCTTATTTCTTTTTTATTAATTTCAATTTTATATAATGCGTATAATTTTAATCCTGATACCTCATAAAATAACGACTGATTGTCCTAAAATGGCTCGATATATTTTTTCTCCTAAGCTATTTGGTCTTGGGCTTTTTGACGGGGTACCATATAGAACCTAATATGTGTATGAAATTTAGGTCTCTATGCTCATGGCGCAATAATGGCAGCTCTAATGCAAAGATCGAAAACCGGCGTGGGACAAAAAATAGATTGCAATCTTTTATCCACGCAAGTCGCTACTCTGATCAATTTAGGCTCGAATTACTTGAATGCCGGTAAGGAATCCAAGAAATGGGGCACGGCGCACGAGAGTATCGTACCTTACGAAGCATTCCCGACCAAGGATGGTTATTTCACGATCGGAACCGGTTCGGAGGCTCAATTCAAAGATTTCTGCGAGAGAATAGGACATGCTGATCTGGTGGATAATCCCAAATACTTAACGAACAAATTGCGCGTTGAAAATAGAAACGAGTTGTTGCCGTTATTGAGATCGATTATCAAAACGAAAACGAAGAAGGAATGGTTTGATATTTTCGAAGGCGCTTCCTTTCCCTGCGGGCCCGTTAACACCCTTCGAGAAACCTTCAATGATCCACATATTAAAGATATCAAGCTGGTTGAAACGCTTCATCATCCGATAGCCGGAGAAGTAAAAGTGGTCGGTCCTCCTGTGAAATTCAGTGATGGTGGAAATTTCGTTAAAAGCGCACCGCCTAGTTTGGGACAACACACTGATGAAATTCTTAGTGATTTGTTGGGATTTAATGAAAGGGAAATTGTCGATTTAAAGAAGATGAAAGTCGTTCAGTAATTTTAAGATTATTATGGGTTTTAATAAGGAAAAGTAAGATTACTGTATAACATGAATTACTTTAGTTTCTACTCATTATACAGGTTACTTCATTTTAGTTTAAGTATGCAATGGGTTATGGGTGCGATAAAGACAACTTCCATTAGACACTTATAAAGGAAAAAGAAAGGGTAATATTGTGATTTGTGTCATTGCAACTTTTCACTCTAACAACTGATATTATAGTAATCTTTCTTTGTTCAACTCATAGAAATGACCATATTGCAAACTGAAATGAACCCAAGTTGTATACTAAAGCTTTAATATACACCTAGGTGCATAATTGGTTATAATGTTTTGATATTTAATAGGATGGTGTGTTGTTATAAATTAAAATTTCATTTCATTTAGGAGTTTTAATAAAATTTTGTAAAAATATTATTGTAATTATATACTTTATACACCAAAATATTTTGAAACTATTTAACACAAACAAATTCCAATTATCAATATTGTTAATTCCAAATAAAGCCTACAAACATTCCTTACTTTTGTGTTAAATATTTTATTCGATTATACACAGTAGAGGCTTGCAATACTGATTTTTAGTGTTATAACATATTGTCTAAATTTGATAAAAAATTATCTTTATTGTATTATTTATTTACCTTTTTCATGTCTTATCGTCCTAAACCGCTAATCAAATATCTTTTATTTCCTGGTAAGTGATTTTCTATGAATCTCACAATACTACTTTAATATTTTTTCATTTTATGTAATGATTTTTTTTTCTCAAAATCGCGTTTTATCTTATTTACTTACTTTTTGTTGTGAGCATTTTTAAAGCAAGTAAGAGCTATAAACATACTGTCTAACTTTAATTTCATATTAAGTAATTTGTGAATTTAAATCTTCGATGTGTATTACATTATGAACGCAAATTTTCTCGTCATTTTAATGTAAACGTTTTTATTTTAGGAAGTACCGAGAGTAACTCTTAAATTGAGAAAACCTAAGAACGATAGGAAAGTTCAATGGAGCACAGAAACCGTAGATAATGAAAATTTAAATAAGAAGAAATCAAAATGTAAGCGATTTAACTTACCGGTATACCATTTGGTTTTTTTAAACCACTCGCTTGTCGAACTAACTTCCAATATTAATATTAACAACTTAACACAATGCCATAATAAAAATGCAACTTGAGCCTATCGGAGAAATGTTCATTTTCCATTTAGATATACATTTAAATTGGTATATAATAGTTGGACCTATAATTTGAATGCTCTAATTATATTTTCAAAATCGTTTAACCGGTCAATTATACAAGGCTTCACAAAAATGTTAAAACATCGACTTTTACCAATATCAAAAAATCTTTTATATTTTAACTTTAACACCTTGTTAACTTCTTTACTAAGCATTTTTGCCTCAGAAGTCCGTAGTAGTCCAACATTTTTGCGACACACTGTATTACAAAAACATTTTTAATTAATCTCTCGTTCAATTTTACATTGGTAATTAAGCTAATGCAGGATAATCTGTGCATGCAGGTTGTTGTATATACGAAAAACCAAAAAAATTCGGCGAAAGTTCGGACGACGAAGACGATGATGACGATAGGGATGAATGCGACCATTGTCACGGGCACGTGGAAAAGAGAAAGAAAAAACCACCAGCCAGTAAAGGCGACACCGGCTGTCCTCCATGCGAAGATAGATGCTATCATCATTAACATATTCGGTAATTTTGTTCGTTTTAGCCAGAAAAGTTTCAATTTTTTGTCTCCTGGAATAATTCTAAAATCGACCAGGTCCAGTCAAAACGAAGTGAAGATTTTCTTTCAACGGATTCACAACGAAGTTACCGATTATTTCAGACTTATTAAGCCAGCTTTCGCTTTGACACGATACTGACGATTTGGCACCCTTTGGAACCATTTGAAATTTATCTACTGTAATTTTTAATAAGCTCTACTTAAAATGGTAAACTAGGACCTTTTTACTATCGTATATGTGTTACTAAAACATATGTTAAGAAACATATTCCATTTGTGACCAATAGGGGTTTAATCAAAACTTAGTAATATTTTAAAAATGTGATCTTATTTTATAAAACGTAATTTAACTAATTATAATAAATTGTGTTTCATACTTTAATAAATTATTTGATCGTTTATATTTTTTTAGAATGTCTCAAAGCTCTGATCGAATTAAAATCGTTCTTTGACCTGTGTGTAATGAGGCATAAGGACTTGATATACAAACACTATTTTTCATCAACAATGTATATAATTTATCATAATAAATATCAAACGTTTACAAAAAATGTATCGGCGATAGATACTCGATATTTAACGCAAATAACAAAAATAGTCATAAAATACAACTTAAAATAAAAAGAAAAATTGTCGATTCGTATAAATAAATTCGGCGCAAATCATTCTAATTGATATACAGTACAAAATCAAAACGGTTTAATCAAATATTCAAACACCTTTCTTAGCGAAATAAATTAATCAATGAAACACCGACAGTTACATAAACATGAAGCCTAAACTACTTGTGCTTTGCTGAGGAGCGATCGATAAGATTAACTTAGCAAACTAATTAGCAATTAATTAAAATTTTATAACTCAACAACTCAATAAATTAATCAAATCATAAACATTCAGGTTAAAAAAATTTTGCTTAACACACACACACTGACAATTTGCACTAACAAACGGGATTTATCCATTCCTTCAATTTAGTACTGAATAAACTATTCGATAATTCACTCGGCTATCGAATTATACATCTAAACCTTTTCGCTCTGCCATTCGTCTTTTGCTCCTTCCCGAGCTCCACGCCTCTGGGAAACGACGCCTCGTCCAAGTTCAGACTGTGCACTTTGGCCCTCGATCGCCACACCTTGATCGTATGATCGTCCGAAGTGGTCACCAGCATCTCGGGATCTTTGGGATTGAACGCCACCGAATTCACCACGTCCTGGTGAGGAAACTTCGCCAAGCACGTGCCGTAGTGGCGGTCCCACAAATACCCGTGCTTGTCTTCGGCTCCACTACAACAAGCAAACGATTTGTTTATTATTCCAGTACAAAGACTTAGAAAGTTTCCTTAAAATTCCTTAGAATTTTTAGGAGTCCTGAAGAGTTGCGAATCTGACAATTTAGGAGCAAGGATTTAGAACCAATTTAGAACCAAATTGAAATTTGGTATCGATAATGTCCAGAGTCCAGACACGGTAATAAATTAAACTAAATATATATAGGGCGTTTAAAATTGTCTGACAAACTTAAAATTTTTTCCTCCTTTAAAACCTTTTCCTCTTACCTTTTACTTCAAAATAAATGCTTCATTTTTATAATATGGACTAATGCCTTTAATACACTATACCATTGTCATTAAAATAACAGTTCAATAATGGTAACTCTTCAAGAACTCCTAATAGTTCTAACGAAAGGCTACCGCGAAAAACTCTGTGGAACTGTAGATAAATTAGTTTACCTTGCTACGTATTCGCCGCAGACGTCTAAAAATATGAAGAAGCACTCGTTATTCGGCGTGAAGCCTTTGTGTGCCCTCAGCATTGTTCCCACTTGCTTCAGAGTGACTAAATCTATTACGTGAATGTCGATTTCTTGCGCTATCGGCGGCGGTTCGAGTGGATTGCTTATCACGTAATTTTCGGGCCAAGAGCGACTGTTCACGTACAAATATCTGCAACATTGTAATGATAAAAAATTGCTCTTCAGGTATTTAATAGACCGATGTTCTAGAGACTCGCCAAGCTGGTCAAGATCTCGCTCGTTGCGAAAATTTAATGATAGAAAACTAACACCAAAATGACCTCTCAAAAAATCATTTGATCTCACCTTTGGTCCGGACTTAAACCCATGCCGACGATGTGCCCGTGAAGATCGATCAAATGATCGATTTTATCGAACTTGTCAGCGACTTGATCGAAATTTAGCCAATCGGGGTCCGGCGGTGGACTTTGCTCCTTTCTTTGTTCGAACAGTATTAATCTTTCCTTCAAACTCGGTCCGGGGTCCATCCTTTTCGGAAACGTAAAGGGTTTTATGCGTTTGAAGCCTATTTGATGAGGCGTATAGGTTTTGTAACCCGTCGTGAATATGAGGTATTTGTCAGTTTGAACGAACCTGGTTATTAAAAAATAATAATTTGTTTTAAAATAAAATATTTAATGTGGGTAAGTGCAAATTTGTTTGCAATATGGTCAATTCTATGAGTAGAACAAAGATTATTAAAATAACAGTGGTTAAAGTGAGAAAGTTGCAATCACACAATAGTTCCAAATGATTCTGGAGTGTTCTAGAATTATCTTGACAGTTCTAAAAGATTCCAGACAGTTTAAAATGATTCTGGAGCGTTCTAAATGATTCTAAACAGTTATAAATGATTCTGGTGCGTTCTAGATTGATGTAGACTGTTCTAAATGATTCTGGAGCGTTCTAAATGGTTCTAGACAGTTCTAAAATAAATTCACCCTGTCAGCCTCAGCCATGACAAACTGGGGAATCATAGCCAAAATACACAAAAATTTGACGTTTTTGAAAGCAAAAGGTTATGCTTCTTTTTATAAATAGGGCCTCATATCACTCTTTCTTTTTTCTTCATATGAGACTAATAGAAGTTGTCTTTGTTGCCTCCATAGACCATAATGCTTACTTATTTGCGCTTATGTGTATATGTATACCTATCAGTGTCCGTTTCGCATGAAGAATCTGAACTAGCTTCATCAGTATCATCAGCAAGTTTTTCTGCAATGGTCTCATCATCGCTATTTTGTTCCTCAAACAAGTGACATTCCGATTCGACTTTTCTATAATCAGCATTGTACCATATAGGATAAGGAAAGTCTTTTTTCAATGAATCGTGCATTGAATTAGCCATAGCTGAAATAACGTTAGGTACAAACCATATTACAAAACTCGAAGTTAATATTCATGAACTTACCTCTCTTTACATCACAGGACGTCCAAGTAATATCATTATGACTAACAGGATTACCATGTTGTGCTGATGATGATGATGATGACGATGAACCTTCATCCATGTTAATTTCGCTTTCGTTTTCAAGATCTCTGTCAATATTTTCGGAATTAGGAAGGCAATTCGCTATCATAATTGCTCTAAAATGACATCAACCCAAGAAAATTAATATAAACATCCCTTATAGAACTAGTAGTTATAGTACCTTATAGAACTAGCATTTCTATTGTAAAACCTAAACAGGCAATGCGTAATGGGAACCAGTTCAGATTCGGCCTCTTGCGAAGCTCTATTGAGCCACAGATAAGAAGTACTAACTAAATGAGCCAGCCAGTGTAGGTCTCCGGATAATAAATATTGATCGCTGTACCATGTACCGAAAATATCATACGGTTTGTTAACCACTCGACATTGAAGCTCAAAACGACCTGGAATTAATTTAAATTTAATTACGGGTTAATTGGAAAATTTTAATTAGTTTTTACTTAAATTGAAGACTGCAATCTCTCCGGAAGTACTGTGAGTGGTACCGAAATGGACGCCGGACACCAGCAATAAAGTATCGGATTCATTGAATTGAGAATTTTGGGTGTATTTCCATTTGAAGTGCTTCATATTCCTTATGTACTTTATTTTCGATGGATATTTCGATCTCCATAGCTAAAAAATTCAATTTATGACAAATAGCAACTTAATTAAGATTATTGGTTTCTTCGCCTTGACCACTTAAATTAGTTATTAAAAGCTCATCAGCCTTACACATTTAACCCTGATATGTCTTAATAAGGTATGAAATATCTACTTACGATAACATAACCATCTTTGGAACATGTAGCAAAGTACTTTCCATTGTGAGAAAAACTAACGTGTAACACCTGATCAGAATGTTCTAATAATGTCTCTGTTTGTACAATTGGAATATGATAAGATAATCTCCTGAATTCTTCATACCAAGTCCTATCTGTAGAAAATAAGTTTTTTCAATTAGAATATATCACCTATTACTTTTTTGCTTGGGGAATTCTATAAATTATTCACGAATGAGTCGGAATTTCTTTGATCAAGAATTTTAATTAAGAAAAATTGAAATGTTTAAATTTATATTGTTGTTAATAATAACATTACCATCTTATAATTAATTACTTACTTGCGTATACTGGAATAGTCCTATCAATGGCAAAATGTTTTACAAACAAATCCTTCCATAATAAATCATTGAAACTAGCTTCGTACCAAAATTTACAAACTTGACCTGCAGAAATTAGTTCTTTGTAGTTCAAATGTTGGAATATTTTATACAGAGCAGGATACGGTAAATAAGCCCAACAGCTATCTTTCTCGTCCATTTTGACAATGAAATGCGTATCTACGCTTCATAAAATGTCCATATTGTTATATTTTTAACCACAGCAGAGGAACAATTTACTCTTATTTATAAGCCAAACTCACAAATACAAATAAAACATAATCAGCTGATTGCCTGACACTTTTGACTTTTATTGACATTTGCCTCATCGGCGAACACGCACGAATCAAAACCGAGTAGGTGAAATCGTTTTTCTAAATTTAATTGAGTTTTAATGCTGTTTTCGAAATAAGTTCATTAAATAATGTCATTTTTAATTATCAAATATTTTCGGCCCATAACTTTTATTAGAAAAATTAAATATATCGAGTTTTTTTTACTCGCACTAGAAAAAGATCTAGACAATGACAATTGACACTAGTCATGTCATTTAAAAAAAGTGGCTCAGGTTCCAACACCGGTAATAAAGTTATTTTACTACTGGTATTTAATAATAATTAACCACTTTATGATTGTTATCGAACGAAATTATTATAAATCTATTAAAATAATGTCCGTCTCATATATTTAAAAACTTTTATAAAGTTGTTATTTCGAGCCGGCAGTAGCGGTGCCAGGCACAAGTAGCGACACTTTTCGATCAAACAAACAGAAAAACGATAAAATTCGTATCTATCGTAAATTTTGACCGACAAAAACTTATAAATACACAATTTGCTCAAATTCTTCGATAGAATGGTAGAAGACAAAGTAGAAATGAACAACGACAGCGAATCATACACCAGTTTAAACGAAAATGATCCCAAAAACGTTCAGGAATTAACCCAATATGTAAGTTTCGAATTAATTTTTACAGTATATCTAATTAACTTATGCTTGCATTATAAAATAAAACGTAATGGAACTATTTTATTAGCGAAATTTAATTCTTCTTAGGTGCAAAGCTTATTGCAAACAATCCAAGATAAATTCCAAAACATGTCCGATCAAATTTTAACGAGAATAGACGAAATGGGCAACAGGATAGATGATTTAGAGAAGAACATTGGAGATCTAATGACGCAGGCGGGGGTAGAAGGCACAGACAAATAATAATTAATATTACAGTATTTTTTTCAACACTTATCTAACATTCGTTTCGTTAACCTGGAATTAAGTAGTTTAATTTTAGTAATCTGTTTATTTGTCTGTGGATAAAGACAATTTTTAACTTTGTGTTTGACTAATTTAAATATTTATAATAATAATAATTTATCACAATTGAATTCATAAATCGTTAATTACTACTAAGTAATGTAAACATACATACAAATAAACACACCTAGCTTTATTAAATTATAATCGTAATGTGGCTCTTTCATATAAATAAAAGTCAACGTAATTATGAATTTCAATACTATAGAACTTAATGAATCCAATGAGAGTGTTCGATAGCACATAATGGTAAAAGAAATTGAAACGTAAAGAATCTTAATGTATATAATTTCCATAAAAACACAAAAGACTATTAAAAAATATCATTTTTTATACTTCCTTACAACAATAGGAGATGGCTTTTTACCAACTTCAACTTCTTCCACGTAATCCTCGCTGGAAATTGTAACATCTTGCACGGTATCTTCATCGGATTCTTCTGTATCGGTTGCACTGTTTTTAATCGAATCCAAAGTCTCCTCGCTCTTGGACAATTTGTTCAGATCTGGAATGCCTGGGGTTCGTTTCTTTTGATTGGAAGAGAATATATTCCCCAAAGATCCCAAGGAGCCCGTCGATCTGAAGAGCGTGTTTTTGCCCATGAATTTCTGTTGACCAGTTTCGGGAAGACGAAGGCTCTTCTTGAATTCCTAAAACAAATAAGTAATATAGAATGTGAATAATTTATTTTTTGACTAAGGTGAGTAACAGAAAACAAAATTTACCAGTTCTAGATGTTCCCTTACAGTTTGAAAGTCCTAATATTAAACAGAAAAATCATTTGCACCATCAACATAATTAAAAAAAATTAATTGTTATAAATGTGTGTACCTCTAAATCCGCTTCTTCGTTAATAGATTGTACGTCGTTGAAAGCCCTCGTTAGAATTTCCAAACATTTCGAATGATACCCGATTTCAACTGCTATAAAATCCAACAATATAGACTTGATATCGTGCAATTTCTGTTTTTCGAAGTTATTGGTTTTCTCTTCGAGGCTGTGAATAGATTTCGATACTTCTGCTGTGGCTTTCACCAATTCTGTTTCCGCCTGAATCTGTTAAAATTAATACTTTTGTCACCACGAAAGCTACTTAATTCATCATCATACAATCTGCTGTCGACTCCTCGGGTTCCTCTCCCTCAGTCTATCCAATTGCCTCTTCTTGGATATCTCCCTGTCTCTTGTACAGTAAATCTCCTTGACTTCCTCCTTCACTTGCTTGCAAATATCCTCGTACTTCGTAAACTCTCCCACCACTTTGGTATCGACGGCTTGCACCCTCAGATCCCCGTAATCGCTGATCAGAGACACGCAATCGGCGAAATTCTCCAGGCCCATCGCCAAGGATTTGTTGATGGTTTCGCTTTCGGCGATGGACAACGTCGTCCTAGCTAATTCATCGCCTTTGTCCCTGACTCGGGCGATTTTGCGGGAGTACTGCCCAAAGATGTTGCAGAACTCCGCTATGTTCCTCTCCACCGAGTGTATGCGCCCCTGGATGAACTTGGCTTGCGTTTCGCTGGAACACAGCAGACCAAAATGGATAAGTACTGTGAAAAGATTCAGGTTTATCCAGTAAAAATGATCTTAATATTTGAGTCTTTTGTATACCCAATAAAGAGGATCAGAAGAAGGGTTAGCAAGGTGATCTTTTGTTCATCCAGGAAGTTGCTTTATGGTAGCCTGACATTATTTAGTTTATTCTGATGATTATTTATGTAGTACCTACCTACTCCATTTTTGATTTAAAGCAATTGAAGGGTGATTGGAAAAAGGATAAAATTCCAGTAAACCTTATTTTTGGGAAATAAAAAAACTGCAATTCATGACTAGCGCATTTAACACCTGGTTAAAATTCCAGAAATACTATCCTTTTTCCACTCACCAATAAAATTATGATGTAAACGGGGCCGGTAACTTATAAGTTTTCGTGCTCAGCGGGAAGACATGAGAAATTAGAACAAAATTGTTATTTCACTTTAATTCACTATATTTTTGGAATTTTATCCTTTTTCCAATCACCCATTCAATTATAAACCACATAAGATTCAAATTACCCAAAGCTTAATAAGCGACCTTTGCACAAAAATGTAGCATCAAAGCGACAAAACACATGTAGAAATAAAAAGCCATGGATGTAAAATAGATCTTTAATTAAGAATTCGTTTAAAAACGGCCAAATACAATTACTGGTTTAAAATAGAAATTTGTGCTGAATTTCGTTATAAAATTTGTTAGTCAACTATTTACAATAATAAAAATTGTGTATAAAAATATTTACCAATTACTTCTCGATCGAAACTGATTCAACATCATTGAGATTTTACAAAACTTGAGTGTGTGACAAAAAAGCCAATGTCAACTAACATTTCGATACAAACAAAAATCCGAAAGCACTGTTACCAACAAAAAAAAGGAAAGTAATCAATATAAAGCAACACTTTTATTATAAAAATACAGAAATACAATTAATAGAAATCAACTTTTTATAAAAAAAAATACTTATGAACATGAAAGATCCACAAATTTTAATTGTAAGAAGAAAATATAGGTTTTTTTTGTTACTATTCAACAACAGCAAAAGAACTACCAGTACAAGCAAAAGCCGACTTTACTTTCTTATTAGCTAGAATCTGAGTTGGTACTTTAACGTCCTTTTTATCACCGGTACCGCAACTGCCGTGCTCGTTCCAGCCCCAAGCCAACAATTTTCCTTCACTGGTGATGGCCAGGTTGTGCTCAGAACCGACACTCAACTGACTAACGTTACTTAGCGATGGGACCTTTTCGATCTTGTATGGCACGTCTCTTTGCGATCCCAATTGACCGTAAGAATTCCTGCCCCACATATAGACCTCACCGTTGTCAGTCAGTGCAGCACTGTGGGTCCAACCAGCATACACAGTCTTCAAACTTTCATTGTTGAAAACCTCCAATGGTACGAAACTGTTGGCGACGTTTGGATCAACACCAAGTTGTCCGAACTTGTTCTCACCCCAGCTAAGTACAGTACCGTTGTCTATAAGGACCACCGTGTGATGCTGGCCGCTCGCTACACTTATGACATCACTGAGATCAGGAACTCTCGATATACTTAGATAGTTGTTATCGTCGAAGTTGTCGCCTAAACCTAATTGGCCTTTGGCTCCCGTGCCCGCTACGACCAGCCCCCCGTCCTTCGTGATCATAGCGGTGTGACGTAAACCGCAACTTACGTGCTTGAAACCGGTGGCCAGTTTCTGGGATACTTGCAGCCTCGATGGGATACCGGTGCAAGTTATGCTCTTAGACAAGCCCAGTTGGGTGTTCCCGTTGTTGCCCCACACGAACTGTTTGCCGCATTCTGTTACGGCAGCGCTGAAATCCCAGCCGCATGATATCTGAACCACTTTGAATTCTTTTAGGATTTCTATTTGGCTGAATTTCAGCGTATCATCGGATAAAGCTAATTGACCTTTCGAGTTCCATCCGCAGCAATACACGAATCCTTGGTTGTCTAGTATAAGTGTATGGCCCGCTCCTCCGGCGATGGAAACGATATTCTCAGCTCGTAAATCACAGTCTTTGAGTGGAATTTCCTTTGGCGTTATTTCTTCGTCAGATCTATAGCCCAATCCTAGCTGACCATAACTGTTAGCACCCTATATGAAGACGAGGTTTTTTTAGCATTCTTGTACCGAATATCTATGATAAAATGACTTACCCAACAATATAAACTCATGTTGATACGAAAACACGTTGGTACGGAACGCTTTCCCTGTTTTTTGTGAAATTTTGAAACACGCGTCCAGCCGTCTGAAAAAAAGTGAGGTTAAGATCGCCGAAAAGCTAATCAAATATGCTCAATATATTTCTCAATAATTAATTGAACAATCTAATGTCTGCTCCATAAATTCGAATTATATTTGTTCGCATTTACTCTTCAAATGACTAAAAAGTAAATGACAAATTTATAATTAGAAGTTATTTAAAACCGACCTTTGAAGAACTTTCAATTGACATAACCGGTTGTTGGTTAATATTGTTGAATGGTCGATTTCTTTTCGTTTTTAAATGAAAAATACAGTTCATTTTTCGAAGATATTTGATAATTCATCAAACAAATTCGTCCTACTATTGGAAATATTAGTTAAAACCAAATTTTCACAATTACCTTTTCCACGTTTACAATTTATAAAACTTTACCAAGCTGTAACAATTGAAAACTGACAATGAGCGGCCATTTTGGTTTAATCTTGCAAATACGCAACAAAGAGAATTATAGTCTTTCCATACTCAATTGAATATGGTATTGAAAAAGAAGCACTGAAAATTGCAAATTTGCTGTAAAATTTAATGTATAAGTGGTAATTTGATGTGTATTTTAATTTTTGGAATGCACTAAATAACGAAATAAACAAGGTGTGTCCACAGAAGGCCTTTTATTGATGTAATATTCAATTGACTTTGGGAACACTATAAAAAATTACCAGGTTACAGAAGCGAAGCGTTGAAAAAGGAAAGAATGCTTTTTTATGCAAAGCGGCAAAGTATACGGTAAAATCGATCAGTAAGAATATTTGTTTATGTATAATGGTCATATTCATATTTATCACTTTATCACATTCTATTTTTGAACGATTTTTCGAATAAAAAATATTGAATAGAAAACATGTAATTAAATTTAATTTTTGGTGTAGATAAGTGGAACATAACAAGTTTGTTTTGTTCAGTTACTGTTTATTTTACTGTTGAACATTTAATTCGCAAATTTCTTGATTTATATATTCAATACTTGATTTGTTGTGTAGAGTTTAGATTTTGTATCAGCATAAAAGTAATTATAATATTATAAATATATCAAAACACACGTACTCAAAATCGATAATTCTTGGATTTTCTAACAGAACACACAGAAAGTCTCGAGGGTAAGCTCCATCTAGGAGGAATACGCTGTACTATAAAAATTGATGTTTGAGCGCGATTTTAAAATCGGCCTTGATTGTAATAATGAGTTTTTGCAGTTTTAATAATAGCCGAAATATTACAAAAAGGTAAGTCGTAACGAAATATTTGTAGGTTCGAGATAAGGCAGAAAGGTAAATGACTTATTTTTGTATAAATTTTACAATTTCGTTTAAAATGGTTATATATTCAATTTCCAATTTTATCCATTTGCCAAGGTACTTTTTCGACATCAGAAATAAAATACGATTTAAATATATCTCTCACATCAAATGCAGCATGTTGCGCATTTCCTCCTTATCGAGGAAAATGTCTTAAGATGCATTCTCCTAGCAGCTCTTCTAATTCCCCTAATTCCCGTGACACACACTGTTGTCTCTCAGAAAATTATGAAGAATGCAAGTTAAGATTATATTTTCAACATTTCCAGGTTGGGAGTTTAATTTTCTAAAATGTAAACGGAACTTTTGTGCCAATATTCCGAAAGTATTTTCTAAAACTCGGTAGTTGAAAACTTCTTTTTTCACATCACGATTCGCTTGAGAATCTGGATAAGGCCTCATTAAATACGTCTTTAATGGAAATGCTTTTTGATATAAGCACAAGTATAAAATAATTTGACCCGCTGTTGTTGGAGGTGCTACGATTAGGAAACGAATTAGGAAAATTCCATAAACTCCAATATTTCTTGGCAATTGCTTTTTCTACCCTTCTTGTGATGGAACTGGTATGCATACGGACAGCATATTTTTATAATTGCTGAACACACTTCTGTAATTGCTTGTTGCACAGTTGAACACAAAAAAATCTTTATGTCTGAAAAATATCATTTGATGTTTTCAGATACCGGTTATTGCAAGAATGTAATTAATTTGGTATTATATAATGTACTTTAGCATTAATCGATAGTTAGGAGAGATCAATTAATGTATTTAAAGGGTTCATCAGGTATTATGTTAGCTTAGGTTGAGAGGTTTTACCCCTCGGAAGATTATATAAAATGGCTTTTTTTTTTATTTTCTCTGAATATTAAGCTAAAGACACGAAGCTTGGCAGCAAGGAAAATTTTTGTTTTAAAAAATATGACTGAAAAGCCCAATTTTACCAACTTTTTTATCTCTACAAGTTTTTACAAAAAACTAAGCATTTACGAAAAAAAAAAATGTATTGCAAGTTCATGTTAAATAGAATTAAAGATGAACAAAAGCCAACAAAAAAAAATGTTTTTTTTTAACTTATATCAAGTACTCAACTTAATTTTCATCACCTCCTAAATTGTTTCGGTGTTATTTAGATACACCTTGTATACACTATCAATGTTGTTTAAAATCGTCGATAATTCAAAAGTTGGCGTGTCAAGTTGGATTAAATAACATATTTTAGGCTCCCCTATACACTCCCCTGCTCTGCTCTGTGTCGTTTTAGGGGGGATTCCCTGTATTTTTTATTATTTTTATTTTAATATTATTTTTTTTCTTAATAACCTAGCAAAATATGAAGATGTTAAAAAGTTAACTCCGGTCTCCACCGCCATACTAAAGAAAATTTTAGAAGGAACTTCCCAGTAAACTCATTTTAATAAAAATTAAAAACATATAAATTACTTATTGATCGTTTATTTTGCAAAGTAACTAATCAATCTTTTTTTTTAGTTTGAAAAAATATTTGGACGATTACATAATATAAATAGTATTTAAACGCTAATTGAGTAGTCAGGTACAAAATGCATTTTATATGTAAAACATGCGCACAACATACAAACAAATTCAATGCAACCTCTTTCATCGAAATCGTTCGAACCATTTTATTATTACGTGTATTTTTTTTGTTATATGTAGTTCGATTTAATTTATCGACATTACGAGAATCTCTTCGATACATTATACAAAATTACGTCAAAAATAACGAAAAATTGCTTACTTAAAGTATAAACGTTCAAAAAACACTAAATGGTTATTTTCCTATTTAAATTTAAGTAAACAATCGTAAACAATTGTGTAATTCACTACAGAATGAAGATTTTTCCGTAAATAATTTCCTAATTAAAATACAAGTCTTCTGATATATTCCGTACATTGGGTACATAGTATTATAAACGAGCAAATAAATAGGCATACGAGTACTATACTATAATTCGTCTACGACTCTAGATCGAATGGTAAACGAAATAAAGTACTATACTCGCACGTGTATAGGTATACTTGTACAATATTAAATGTTCGTTTGAATAATACACCGATCCGACAACAGTACAAAAACGCAAATAACATACTAACCCTACATCAGTACAAAGAAATACAACATACCGAAAAAATATATTTACAATGTCTTAAAAACGATTAAAAATTATCTAAACGATTAATTTCAACTATTTTCTTAATTTATAAGGAACTGACAGTCATGGTTTTTCTGTGTCGTGAGATTGAAATCATCCACTAATATACAAGGTAGTGATTTTTAAAGGGACACACTTATGTAGTTGCCTATTTAAAAGTATCTCGGATATTATTTTAAATATGATCGGTTTTTTTTAATATTTATAGCTCATTCTCTAATGTGTATGTCCACGTAAAAATATAAAACCTTGAATATTTGTAAGTTTATTGGAACAACACCCACGTGTATTAATTTGGTATCAAATCAAAGATTACTGGACGTCCCGGTCGAATAAAATTTGCATAAAATTTGGTAAATAATTTTCATGATAAGCTATTTGAACGTCCTGCTCGATAAAAATAATGGAGTTCGCATAAAAACCTTCATCAAAACAAAGCGGAGGATTTTCACATCATCCTCGCCACAAATTTACATTTACCTAATTTTTTATGCGAAAACCTTTGCAAGTAAGTGTTTAATGGGCTTACAATAACATTCCTAAACTGATAAAAAAATTGTTCTAACTCCTAGAAAACTGCACAAAAAAGGTATTGCTTTCCTATTTTCTCCACAAACTCTTACTTCCATAAAACAAATGTGCTTTGATTTGAAAATTTCTTGGCATCAACTAGAATAAAAATCAACTAATATTTGCGATTTAACTATGGAAATTATTTTAAAAATATAGCTATAAAATCGAGTCCACGAGGAAAGAGAATTTGGATTCAACTCTAATTCCGTCTCCTTCAACTCCTAAATGTCTCTAAAATACTATTTCTCTAAAGAACAAATCAAAATATCCTTCCTAATGATCCCGACTATATTGCTCATCATTAAATTTACTTTAGTCTTACTTAATTAATATAAATATAACAGGTATTGCATTGTGTATATGATGTGATTATCAATACTATTTTTTTATTGTGATGCGCGGTGATTTTTTTTAATAAGTCTCATTTTCTCCGTGAAAAATCGTTGACGTTGACTAGAAAAAAAAACGTACGATATTCAATTTCAACGTGTATATGGAGATGGATTTGTCGAAAAGTTACGTATCAAAAATATGCAAATGCGCTATTTTTGGCTATTTAGATTCTATACGACATTTTTGTGGTAGCTGAACGAAAATCGCTATTAAACAGTTTTAGTAATGCACTAGCACAATTGTTAATACAGGGTGTCCCATAACACTTTTTATTTTTTTAACCTGAGAATTGAACGCATTAATCTATAGTGAATCCTGTATCTTAAGAGTTCTGGGACACCCTGTGTAAAATATAACAATGGAATTCATAGTTGCGAACCTAATTCAAAAAATTCACCTTGTTATTGTAACAAAATTGACTAACGTTTCAGGAAATGATTAATAACTGTTTCAATTACATCTAAAAGTAGGAAAAAAAAATAAATATTAACGTAAATAAATAACTGGGATAATACGGCTTACACAAACCTAAGGATTAAAATGCAGAAATAAAATATTTCATATACAATTTAAACTAAATGTTTCGCGTCGTTCGTTACATGTTTCGCTAAATACAATATTGAAATAAGTTAAATATGAACTTTTCGTCTAAAAATTGCTTATCGAACTAACGCTTAAAAATTCGTCATTGATATGAAAGCAAAGGCATTTATTTATTCTTTACCTAATTTAATAAAACAATTAGAACGATCACAGAACGTAAACGATTATTTATCGTGCTGCTACCACGAAATAAAATACGCGGCACAGTAAAAACAAAAAATTAAAAAAAAAAAGTTTTGTAAACAGCCTTCTGACAGGGGTTTGTTTTCGTTTTCGCTTAAAAGCTAAAACAAAACATCCAAAGTACGTGTGGAATTGTATTGAATTGAATTCGCGAACACATTCAGTGCACGATTTTAAATCGAATAAATGCAACGTTTTTTCCAAATTCCGAACACCCTATTTTTTTACACGTCATTCAACTATACAAAAACATTTTCCGAAACGAAACGACCCTAAAACTTATACCTAATAAGTATCAGTATTACTTCCATTCAATATAGTATGATAAAATAGCCTACTTCCGCACAAATTCGTCTACCAAGAACACAACATTTTTGATGGGTGACGACAGATCATTGAAATTTCTATGTACACGGAACACGCACGCGCCTCGCGTGCTCCCCATCTGTCTCTCGTATCGAATCGCTTACAATTAATATACTCAGTCGATATAAAATAAATGGATAAACACACAATACTGGCATTTGACGCGCTTCGACAGCTCGTTTGATTCAATTACTATGTACACGCTTCGAAGTCCGTTGAATCGCCTCAAATGTCAGTAGGCCGATTCTATACGTTCGTGTTATCCTGCGATTGGGAGATGCTCTGCTCGGGATATTCGTCGTCCTCTTCGGACTCCCGTTTGCTGCCCACGCCCAATCGACTGAGCAGATTCGAACTGCTCCCTCTGCCTTGGCCCAAGAGCGGCTCCTTGGGACAGCACAACTCCAACGGGATGTTGTCGGGGTCCGTTCGGTCCCCGTAGACGGTCGCCGGCGCTTGGAAACTCGACCCGTTGGCCGATTTGCTGGGCGACACTTTGATATTTTTGGTGGGCATTTCGAGCTCGTCGCTGTCGCCCATTTGGACCGACAGTATGGGCACGTCGAGACAGGGCGTCAGTAATCTCGGGTTGTTCGCGAGGAATTCCACGATTTGCGAGGCGGTCGGGCGTTCTTTCGATTCGCGTTTCCAACAGGAACTCATCAATCCCACTCTGGAAAAAAATATCACATTTATTAGCAACGAATATATTTTTTTAATTTAATCTCTTACAGTTGTGGTTTGGCCGCTTTAGGGATTTGCAACGTCTGTCCGTTCTTCACCTCCATCAACACTTCAGGGTTGGTTTTACCTTGGAATGGGAAGTTACCGAACGTGATGATTTCGTAGAGTAGGACGCCGAAACTCCATACGTCCGTCGAGGGCGTGAAAACGCCCAAAGCCAGACTTTCGGGCGCCATCCATCTAACAGGTAATCGCGCCCTTCTGCAAATTGCGAAATAACTAATAAATACGTGTTCAAATAGAGGCATCAAATTCGTATATTATATTCCGTTCGCTATCAGCAGATAGTAATAATAGCTAATTTTATATACAGAAGACAATACGAGGGACTCAATAAAAAACTCATAATATTCCAAGGCTTCTTTCCACCATTGTTTAATAGTACCACTCTGTGTACAGGGTGTGTAACAATAGGCGGCCCTTTTCAAATCCCAGAAAAAGTGACCTGAACATAGTATACAGTCGTGCTTCTGGGATATTAAATAGATTAATTAATATTAAATAAATTAAATATCTGAATCGGTTTCGTATTCTACCGTTAATTACTAAGGCGACCAAAGCACGCCCTCTAATTCATAATATTCTTGGGGGTAATATAGACATATTTTCCTAAATGTTTACAATTTTGGTAAATTTTTTTCACAGTAGATGGGATGAAAATAGTTATACTAGTAGATGTTCCGTGTTTGATTACACTCGATATAAAATCAAACTTACAACAATGTAAAATAAGAAATCCTTTTCAGAATTTTTCAAATTTAATTTTTTTTCCTGCAATTTTAACCGATAAAAGAAGGGCTTTACAAATAACCATTAAAGTGCTATTAAAATATCCAGGCGCACAGGAAATACCTTATTTCATCTTAACTGCCCTTTAAAAAAGGGACAAATTATTCAAAAATATCTGAAAAACGGAAACCACTGGCACCGCTGTTGCTAGTCAAATTTGCAAAATTGCTCTGTGATTTAACATTTATGTCAGGCGACACCATAATTTTACAGTAATCCATCATCATTTGCTAAACTTCTTTAATTAGTTTTATTTTAATATAATACAGCCTGTGGACCAATATAAACTAGGAAACTTTGTTCTGTAATAAGTATTCTCCATCCCACTCACACATTATTCACACATGTGTTCAATTAAACTCGAATTTTACTAGAATTACGTTTTGCCATTTAAAAAGCACTGCAAATAAATGACAGTTTTTAATTTCAATTTTCCTAAATACCTAATGAAGTAGGTGAGATTAAAAATAAGAGAAATCATTGCTAGGAGTCTCTATATTAGGTATAAAAAGGATTCAAATCAATTAATGAAGCCAAATTTAAATCTTACTAGAATTACCCAACATATGTTTTCCCATATAAAAATACCCTGAAGTGGCGCCCTTAAGGCCATTTGTTAGTTATTTTTAACAAATTATTAATTCAATAGTGTCTACATTTTATCTATTTGTACGATTCACTACTTCAAGAAGGTTTCATTACTGTATTATCTCCTAATAGGGAATAAAGTATAGTAAAAAATATGCGTACCTGGTAAATTTGTAGTAATCATTGTCAAATATGGCGCGTGTCATTCCGAAATCTCCGATTTTCACGGTTCGTTTGTCATTTACGAGACAATTCCTGGACGCTATGTCCCTGTGTACGAATTTCATTTCCGCGAGATAGCTCAAACCTCTGGCGACGTCCATGGCCACGTTCGTCAATCGTTTGGGACTCACTTCCTCCGACTCATCGATATCTGTAGGGATTAATTAAAATTACCAAAGAATTAGCGCAATTTTTTTCACCCCTTATTATACCGTGTAAGCCTGAGACTTGCTGCTATGTGGACACGGGAGAAACACATTTTACAAGTAATTTTGATGATTTTATTAGATAACTTTGATGAATTTTCAGAAGATTTTATATGCAAATTTCACCTTTTTTAGGAACGTTTTATTAAGTTGGCGGATTTTTCATAGAATTATACAGGCAAATTTGAGGATTTATTCCTCAAAAAAGTTCTGAATAGTTCCAAATCAGTTCTGAAGAGTCCCAAATCAGTTCTAAATAATTTTAGACAATTCTTAATGATTCTAGGATCGTTTTAAACGTCTAAATGTTACTAGTTAGTTTAAAAAAATCCCGACAACTCTAATCTGTTCTGGACCAGTTCAAAATGTTTCTAAAACTGTCCTGGACCACTTGTGTTATTCCTATATCCACATCTCCGCGTATCAACGCGGTATATTTAAAAAAAACGCATCTTTACCTTTAGATTTGACCAAGTGTCTACGAGCCAACAAATACGTTTTCAAATCCCCATACAGCATATATTCCATCACCGTATAAACGGGTTCATCCTTGGTGCACACTCCTATCAATTTGACGATATTCTTGTGCTCGAAGCGCTTCATCACCTCGGCCTCCGACAGGAAATCCAGCTTATCTTCGGTCGTAGAACCGACTTTGAGCGTTTTAACGGCGACGGGACTCCAACCGCCCGAATCCAATTCGACTTCGCCGCCGTACACCATACCGAACGCGCCTTCGCCCAATTTGCGATTGATGACGATCCGCTCGCGGGCCATCTCCCATTTGTCCAGATCGGAGGGACTGTGCTTGTCGAACGGTATGCCCAGCGATTGCATGAACTTCCTCGTCCTCTGCACTTTTCTGTCGTACCTGGCCTTCATGTAGAAGCACACGCACACCACCCCGATCAACAGGATGCCCGCTATGATCACGTTCAGTATGATGATGGCCGTCTGGCATTCGACGTCGAACACCCTCGCTAGGGCTTCTACGGCGCACACCGGCGGAGGGAGCGCCCCGTCTTCGGGTATCGAACCGTCCGGCGTAAACCTACGAGAAGATTACGTTTAATAACTACTTCCATAAAGATAGGTTGCGGTCATGAATGAGTAGAGTAACCCTGTAAGGTAGTATTTTATTTACACAGATCTTTCGATGTGCTGCAGAAGCACCCATCGGCCTTGCTACACGCCAGAACTAAAGCAAAGCTAACGTGAAAAACTGCTTTATAAGCGGTGGGTTGGACTGGCTCGGGGAGCCGGGTGAGCTCCAGTGGAGACCGTTGGACTCTTCAAGAGAAGTGAGGGTACTCCGGTAGAGGGTCTGAGGGCTCTAATGGATCAGGGAACGGGTCGTGAGTAAGACACGGGTACTCGGTGTACCAAGAGACAGAGCCTGACAATCATGTGAGTTCTAGCAATGGGCATTGTTATCACCAAGAGAGTTCTTGCAAGTCGAATAAAGTTGTTATTGTCATCTACTATGTCAAGTTATTCCCTTTGAAGCACTGTTGGAACATAAATCCTTAGCATAAATGTAACACAGGGTAGTATCTAAACCATTAAACTTGACAAAGAGACAAATAATGGTTTTAAGTCCTGTAACATTGGCTCTAGTCGAGCTACAGACTTGAATTTTTCAACAAACATAGTCATATCTTATCTTGAAATCCACCAAGTGGCATCCTCCCCACTCAGCTCAAAAGAGTCGAACTACTCATTCGTATGAGATGATCAAGAAGAAGTGAATCACTAATTTCGAAAGAAGTTACAAAACATGTAACTTACCATTTTATTTGGGTGCCGTTGAGACTCAATTGTCCACCGTGTATTTCGGGTCTGAATTGAGAGACGTTCGGATAGAAGCTGCCGACGACGTGTTTCGCTCTATCGTACCACTGTATGATATTTATGGTGGAAACTCTCGACGAACCGCCGCGGAATTTTATGTGGCCCGATACACCGTGAAAGTCTACATCTTGAATGTAATTCACCAGTTTCCTAGAAAACAAACTTCGTAGGAAAACGAAATATCGATGACGAAATTGAACGTTACCTCGACGTGTTGGCCGAATGCAAAACGGACATGTCCTCGGAATCGTTTTGAAGCAGTTGAGTCAAAGCCAAGGCGTAGGTCCAGACGGCATCGTAAGCGAAACCGGCGTAATCGCTTATCGGACGATGGATCGATTTCATGTTGCGCTTCCATTGCCCCACGGTGATGTTCTCTTGCATCATGTCCTCGTCGGGAGCGAAGTACGCGTGAGTCAGCGAAAAATATCCGTTGGCCGCCTGTTAAAAACCGTCCGGTAGGTAAATAAGTATCTCTCTAATTCTAAATAGTTAATATAGATGATAAGCATTTGTTACAGCCTGTAGATTATCAGGTCTATGCGGCAGAGCCCATCGAGCGAGACCTTGGTTATTTAACTGTCTTAGCGTCAGGCCTTCGAGATGCTGGGTCTATGCGACAGAGTCCTTTATTCCAGGTAGTAGCGAGTGAATACTAGTGGTAACATCAGGCCTGTAAAGATAAATGGAGCTTACCTCAATCATTTGATCGACGCTGCAGCCGATTTGTTCCGTAGCGTTGTATTTGGTGGTGTTGTACCAGTCGGGGCTCAACCATACGGGTAGGAACCAGACGTAGCCCTCTTTGGCGGTCATTTGCAATTGCCAGGCTTCGCATATCACCATTCTGGCGTCGTGATCGACGACGTCGGCGATTATTATTCTGGCCCGTTTGGCTTTCAGGTCTTCCAAGTACTGCGGACGAAATAAAATTCGTTATAATCGAACGATTCGATGGGAGAAATTGCTATTTTGAGAATTCTATTTGGATTCTAGGCAAATTCTCCCACGATAGTACGGGAAAATATCAATCACTTTCCACACTTCCGGTAAATAACAATTATTTTGTTTATTGAATTGCGCATTTATCGCACGTATTTTTTTTAATAAATGCAAATACAAAATTACCTGCAATAACAAATCGAATGTTAACCACTACAACGTTCGTACGAGCATGATTTTGCAAAAAATTATAACTCGTCAAGCTTGTTTACTATTATTAGTATTTTTTACACCTAAGACGATTATTAACCGTTAAAACGTAACATAGTAAAGTTAATTCCACAAAAAATATTTTTTATACTTATTAACATTTTCCAATTTACATTACAAATTGCCAGCCGCAGATATTTGCGAGCACACTCGAATCTTTATGAGGAAAAAATAACGCGTCGGCGAAAAGAAATAACTCGAAATAACGGGGATTACTTTGGGAAAACGCATTATCGAGATTGCCCTACATATATAATACGCAACAGTTTCATAGTCAGATGGAAAGGGGAAGCCCTTATGGTGTGCGTGTATTGTACCGTGAAATTCGAAAATCATCCCTATTGTTGCACAGTTTTATTTTACACACGCGAATTATAAACCTGCCGTATAGGGTGGTGGGTGATCGATCGCACTTTGATATTTTATACTATTATTGCAAATATCCGGGAAGCCTTTTCAGTTTGAACCCAGTTCAAATGCGAAAGTAATAAACGGACCAGCGCGCCCGCCAGATTTGATCCACATTTCTCTCTGCTTTTGATTTAGGCGTAGATATTTTACCCGACTATATAAGAACTTAGTTATCGATCAGCCCTGTTTACGTATTGCGTCGTAAAGAAATTTCCTCCAATGCAAGTCTGTTTGCATTTTCGAGGAAATTCATTCTTGTAAATGCGAACGCGAATAAATGCGTCGAATTGAACAAGTTTGTTTACCATTATTCGATAAAGAAAGGGGCTCCACACATTACAATGAGACACGTGCACCAGCAATTTCTATGTAGTTACCTAATTATTATTACCATTTCTGCCATTACTAAATGTGTATGGAGTATCTAAAATTTACTACATTATTACTATAGAGATCTCTAGAAAATTAAATGTCTATTGTCCATTCGGTTTTATTACTTTTATGTAGCTTCACGCGGAGTACAAAAGTCATTGATTTTTTTGGAAATTTGAAACGACTGTTTAAAGATTCACAATTCCTCGGGGTGTAACTTAATACAGGGATAAATTGTATTAAACGTCTCGTGTCGATTCTCAAGCAAAGCGCCTTGTATACAGCGCAATTTTCTCGCAATTTTGCAATAATTTGTTTCAGTTTTGCGAATTTCCCCGTTTACAAATATCAAGGGGGAAACTCCGAAAAATCGACCGGATCTCCCGCAGGAAAGGGGAAACCCAAACCGCCCATGAAAAACGTTTTTACTACAATCGTCGTAAAACCTTCAATTACCTTTTTAGGTGCGTTTTATCCTCGAGATCATTGACCTTTGTACGATTTTAAAGCTCGCCCACGGAATGCATTCGAGCGCAAAAAAAATGAATTAGCATCATGTCCAATAAGGTCGGGATGCGATATTATAGGGGGTGAGTAAAATCCATAAACATTCTACTGTAGCCACGCCTTTGCACATTCAATGTAATGCAATTACTAAATTAATTTAATTCGATATCCTACACAGTTGCATAAGCTATCGATTAGATAGCATAAAAATTAATTAAATATACCAATAACAAAGTATTTATGTATTGATTTATTGAGTAAGGCTATGGATAGAGAATCGTAGAGCAACGAGTTTTGTGTTGAGATAATTTCTCTTTAAAAGAAAGAATCGTAAACTACAAGGTTCAATTATATCAGTGACAACGTAATTACGTGATATTGCATTTCAAATTCAATCCCTCCGGACAGGTACTGCAGACTGAGGCATATTTGCACCGCTAACCCGGATAAGATTTTCCCTTGGAATTACACCGCACGCGAATCGCCGAAGAAAAAACCGGCGAGATTGAGTCGAGACGGAGAGCAGCGAAAGAAAAAAAAAAGTTACTCCCTCCGGTAATAAAATTCCTTCAGTTACACCCCTAACGAGATATGACGTTTAATTAACCGGCGGAATGATCGCGATTTCTTTCTTCGGACGATTTTTAATGAACGTTTTCTGCTCGAGTCCGGGCAATAATCGGAGGCAATTTTAAAAATGCAACTCTCGGATCCGCGAGGCCCGTTATTAAATGAAAATTATGATTCACATTTTTTTTTTGGGGCTAATGATCTCTTTCGGCTTATTCGTGATGAATAGCTTTTACGACAATACGAAACTTCTACAGTAAGTTAAATATAAATTATACGCATGTGTTGAACGAAATATAATAGGAAATAATCATTCAACAGTAGAACTGGTAATGGTAAAGTAGTATTAATTAAAATTTCGAATTAAAATCTAGAGGAATTAGGTGTGGGAATCGAAAGGGTCATTTTAAAGGGCCATTATTAGCAATCCACCTATCTTCGAATAACTCGGTTAATGGAGCATTAATACAGAAATTTGGAATAGTTAAAAATATTAAGGGCAGGTATTTTAAATCAAAAATTCCAAATACTTTTTTGTCAGTATGTATTTGGAATTGATTTGAAAACACTTTCATCAAATACAACTTTTTAAATTTTAATTAATACTACTTCTGATATTTCTAATAGGTCATTGTTGGGACACACATTGTATACAGGATGTCCCCGTAAATCAAATATTGACCATTCGCAATATAAAGGAAATCGTGCGAACGAAAACTAAACCATCATTTTCCAATTTTCTACTACATTTCCCAATCTCTAATTGGATCTCTATTCGGCCGTTTTGAGCATAAAATTGCTCTTTTTTATGCCAGCGGAATATGCCAGGCGACACTTAGCCGCGTTTTGAAGCGTGCGGCAGCGTACTTAACAGGGGTTCCCCCGTTTCGTGTTCAACGCCGTGTTTTTTTTTGTGCGTTCTCTACATCGGCATCGCGCAATTAGGGGGTTTCCCAATTTCCCAACTCGCTTGGATTTAGCCCGGTTTTTTTCCCGCAAATTTATTTTTCATTCAAAACGCACCACCTTGGGATTAACAAAAGAATAAACTATCAAACGCGACAAACACGAACAAAAAAAATACGAAGACAATAATTACCATCACTTTCCTCGTCTGTGTCGGTTAAAATGTTTTGTATGTAGTTAGAAAAACTCGACTATTCCGCATATTTATTCGCAATCGGAATTAATCGCGCATTTACTAGCAGGTAAATATATTTGCCAATTAGCAACTAACTCATTTACGAAATTATTTTCATTTTAGTCGTAAACAACGTAATTAACCGGCTACTAGGTAGGTATGTAGCTAAAAATTTTAATATACCCGTCAAATGGATTTAATTAATACCCAGCTATTATACTATAGGTCGATAATGAGACGAATTTAAAACGAGTTATACAATGGTCTAACGAAAAATTAGTCACCTAGTCTAACAGATATCTCCTTTTTAAAAATAAAATTAATCTCCTTCGAATAAAATTTTCTAGCTTATTAATTTTTCTCTTAAATTTTTTGTTGGTTTATCCTCAATTTTAGGCCCGATGATAAATACATATACTCAAAAATGTTTTGCATATTATATAAATGTCTTTTGTTAAATTGTTTTTATTGTTAATTTTAAATGATGTTTATGCCTTTTGGAAACTAATTTTGATGAGTAATTTTACAAATAATTCATTGTATTAAATGTTTATTCTTTTATGCAAAACATTTTTGACAGTGTATATACAGGGTGGTCTGTAAGTAATGGTCTCAACTTGCTTTAGTAAAATATTGAAAATAAAAAAGATACAGAGTGTCACAGTGGAAATCAAAAAAATAACTTTTCGCAGCAGTTTGAAAGGTTTTGGATGTACAGAAGTGAAAATTTGAAGACAGGTGTTTCAATGAACGAGAAATCATAATGATAAAACCAATTTAACAATAAACATTTCAAATAATAAATGGCCAGTGGCATTTCAACTTCATATTCATGGTGTTCCTAAACATCGGGTACATCCGAAAGGGGGTAATTCCTTGGCTTATTTTATGACTAAAAGTTCATATTCCTAAATTCAGCTAAATATCTCAAAAATTTCAGGAGCTCTAAAAAAGAAACAAAAAACAGATCTTGAAATTTCAACACCCTGCAGATCGGTAACGAAGCGTTTGCGGACCCACGTTTATATAAACTTTTTGTCATAAAATAAGCCAAGGAATCACTCCCTTTCGGGTGTACACGATGTTTAGGAACACCCTGTATAATATGCAACATTTTTGAGTGTATGTAAATTCGTTTAAAAAGCAAATACGGTTAAAATAAAATAAAAATCCACTCACGTATCTCATATCTTCGGTGCTGCGGCCGCGCGGGAACTTCTTATTGGCGATGAAGCTGATGTTGTTCTTGCCCAAATCGTCGCTCATCAGCGATATGTACTCGGTGTATTTCTGGCCGTCCTCGGTGAGAGCGGCCACGCGCTTCCACCGGAACTCGGTGAACAGCGACAAATAGACGTGCTTGTAGTGCTGGTTCTCGCCGATCGTCCGGAAGAAGTACGGGTATTTGTTGCGATCGGCGAAGCTGACGCCTTCGGCAGCGTACGAAATCGTTATCATCCTGTATTTGTTGGATACAGCCGCTATCGGTTCGATGGTTTCGGAACAAGCGGGCCCCAGAACACCTGAAGACCAATGGATGTAGCGTGTACGGGAGGTAAGGGAATGTAAAACTTACCGACAAGATTATCGTAATAATTCTTGACAACGAGATAGTCGAGAAAACTGCTCATCACGGCGTCCGATTGACAATTACCGTTCTGAATCATCAAATTCAAAACGTAACCTTTGATCAGATTGTGTTTGTTGATGTAATTTACGGCCTTCTTGGCGCTTTGCACGATTCCGGCGCCGTTGAAAGGCAGCCGGTCGTCCAATGGGAAAATCCCTCCGATGTAGATTACGGCGGTCTCGGTGGAATTCCACCTGGACCAAATCTTCTTGTTTTTCTTCATCCATTCGCACGCGATTTCGCTGACGTTGTATTTTCCTTGCTCGACCAGATCCAGCAGGAAAGCGTAGTCTTGCTGGCGCAACTTGAAGTGCCTGACACCCAGGAAGAGAGGATGAGCGCCTTGCTCCATTTTCGACCAGACCATCTTCACCAAACGCTGCATCTCGTATTTGTAACCGTTCACCATGTTATTGGTGAAATTGTAGAACTCGTTGTTTTTGAACTGGACCGTGATGAATTTCGATTCGTCCGTGACGACGTCTCCGGGATACCAATGGAAGAAAAAGTAACTTTGCTGTTCGCCCAAATTCGCGTAGTACTCGTTCAGTCGCCTTAGAGTTGTCTTGAGGTTCTTGCCCAGCCAAAGGATGTTCACGTAGACTCCCATTTCGTCGACTTGATTTATGAGGAATCCGCTGGCTTCGAATTCGGGCGCCAGCAGAATGGCGCAGTTTTGGCCCAGACATTGCTTGGGGATGTACATGCTCATGTTATCCGTGCAATTGACATTCGGACAAATCGGTCTGCAAATACAATTATAATTATTTTAGTAATTTCAGATGATGACCATCACTTACTCCCAAGTGTTGTTTACTTTTTTCATGTGATATTGATTTTTCCATATCAACGAGTTAAGAATTTTGCTGTCCAAATGAAACTGGCTGGCCAGCCTCAAGTTGAGGAAAAACGACCAATGCACCTCCTGTATAGCATCGTTCCAAAGATACTTATCTTCGTAAAATTTTTTGATCGGTCCGTAATATCTCTTCGGTATGAACCAGCCGAAACGGCCGGGAGGACCTACGCTACCCACCTCCTTCACGAATTCTTTTTCGAATGTATCGTATTCCGGACTAGTCCACACCTCCAGGTTGATGGTAGCTGGAGGAATACTAATAGGAATTGAGAGATTAACGTTTTTTTTCGAAATGACTACGTGATTTTGGCACTTACGCCACTCTAATATCGCTGTAATCGGAGAGCCGTTCCATTACGTTCAGTATTTGGAAGTTGTCTTCGTGTATGTTGATGTTCAGTTTGGTGTAGCCCAAAACTTCCTTGGCGAAAATGTAGAATATGTGGCTAGCTAATAAATGGGTCATGCGCGTCGATGATTCGATATTTATCATCAGCGACTGCGCAACGTTTTCTTTGATGAAGTACTTTTTCGGATAGACTTCTGCAAGTGGAAGGAAACATAAAAATGTACGTTTTATTCGTTATAATTAACACGATGAGTAGGTTAGGTGCTCGGTTGGGTATTAGTAAATTAATTTAATTGGAAATTTCCCAATTCAATAAAAAAATACTACATATTTTTTTTAAATTTAATTTGTAGCAACACATTTAATTAAATTTCAAACTGCGCACTTTGCTATGTACATTTAAAACATAGGTACAGGGCGACTCAGAGTAAAATTTTGTTTTGATGCGAATTTTCGATTTTCGGTCGAGGCAGTTTCTAAAGCGAACGATTCATATGTAGTGGCAATATAACGTTTTTTTAGACGTCGACAAATGTAGTGTAATCGTGGGATCAAAGTTTCCAAACAACAGGTTCCGTGGTAAATCGGAAGCACCCAGGTCAACAGAAGTCCATCAAAACTCCAGAGAACATTGGGATTGTGTCACGTTCTGCGACTGGAAAGCTGAGGCGCTCAATCTCAATGTTCTCTGGCGTTCTGGTTGATTTCTGTTGACTCCGATTTACCACGAAACCTGTTTGACTTTTAATCCAGATTACATTAAATTTGTCACAGAGAGCATTACGTATATACCGAAAATCCGCATGTATTCACCACGAATTGCCAGTGCTAGCCCCCAAAAACTTTTCAAACGGATACACAAGGCACGTTTGAAAACCGAAGTCTACTCTGAGTCACCCTGTATAACATATGAAACTTTGTGCATGTCACCGATCGAGAAATTTATATTTTGCAACAGCGAATTGAAATTAATCGAGTATATTCAAGACATTATTAGTCTTTGGGAATTTCACCTAGATATGCTGAACTTGAATTTATCGCAAAGTATAAGGTACCTAAATATAATTTATAATAAAGTTATTACCTTCGATATTTAGACATTTTTGTTGTTGTGATTTGATGACTATGACTGAATTAGAGACAATCGCCAGATACAAGAGGATGGATTGCCACGGGGGCATCTTTCCTATCCTTCTAGGATATCTGAAATAGAAGAAAAACTAACTGTTATACTTGTAGCATTCAAATTCAATTTGTTAATTATTAAAAAAATTAAAAATTCATGAAATTTTAAACTTTATTAGAGTGATTAAAATTTGTGTTATTTAATTAGCAATCACCAAACTAGTTTGTAAGTAAATGGGAAATTTGTTGCAGGGACCGGTAGGCTTAATTGAATATTGAATTTCCCAGGAAAATCGGTACGAATAATATGCAAATTACCATATTTTGTCACTGGAAATTTACATGATGAAACCGGTTAAATTGGAAAAGGAATTGAACAGATTTCTCGAAATAGATATGAAACAAAACTATTTAGTATTACAGTACCCACAACTCAAAAATTTTCTCATTTATGATTAATACCCCACAGAAATCACCCTTTCGTAAGTGCGCGATAATTGAAAAAAATACAACACAACCTATTATACATTTCATCTTCCATGTAGTGACACTTCACAATATTTTCCCCTTCAAACCGTCTAAAAATTTAAATTTTCCGGGACTCCCGGAAGCCAATACTGTCCGCGTTCGGTCGGCGGCAGTCATTTGCATTTTAATGCTCCAGATGCGGTTGCTGGTGTAATTAGTAATATAAACAAGGGGTTTATTAAATTTATGGCGAAACAATAATTTACCAGCGACTGACAGCAGCGTTAGGATGTAATTAATTACGTTTTCTACTTAGTTTACGTCCGATGGAGAAGAGAAGTAGAAGGAACATTATAAGGCTATTATGAGGAATTTCTAAGGGGCTTTTAAGGAGTAAAAAATGACGCGGGATATTTTCACCTTGACACTTAAGAAACGCAATTAACATTAATTGAGTACACAAATTAATACATAAAATTCCATGCGGCGCGTTTTATAGTGTAACAATGAAAGCGTTTTCTAGCGCAGTACGGAGTAATCCCCGAATTAATATTTAGTAGTGACAATAACACAATCGAAACGCAGGAGCGAATGGTAAAATCGTAATGCGGGAGAAAGGGAGGCACGCGAATCCGTATAAATGAATATCCGGATTTGCTTTCAACAAAAGCCCAAAATGATATGATGAAGCACTTCGTTGTCGTTTTCAAAAAGGAAATGATGGTCTCGAATCAACGCTTTTGGGCTCGGTGGATGAGATGAGGAGAGCTCCATTTAAGGAGGTTTCCTTGATTGAATTTTCGTTTTTGCCGAAGGGAAGAGGCATTGACAACGATATCGTAATAGAAAAATACAAAATATTTTCTGGAATCCGTATAGTTTAGTTTTTGTATCATCTACTTTCTTGTTTTGATGTTTTGAAATAAATTAGTGCACCATGATCATTAATATACCTATCATGTAGTCGTAAAATTAAAATTCCCTAAGCGTTTGGGAACCCTTTCGGTTTATCGCATAAATTCTCTCTTACATACATCATGGAAAGGACAAAGTAAATGTTCTTATTTGTTTAGGATTATTTATCCAGCTAATATTGGTAAGCCCTAATTAAAGTCTATTGTCCAAAAGTTACGAGTAAATCAATATCTACCCCTTAATTAAAACTTAAATTTTCCGGACTTAAACAGAATTACAAACGTAGTTTCAGAACTCCCAGTTGTGTTGTAAAAATAGAGTAATTATTTTGGATACAGCCGTCAAAAATAATTCAATCTTCATTCCGAGTATCACATACAAAAAAAATAACGAATATATTTTTGTAAACATGTTTATAACAAAATCCCATTCGAATATTTTTAAGTCGGTTATCGCCGCTTGTACGAAATAAAACTCGACTCCGGATTAAAATCGTTCAAGACTTGACCTTGAAGGTTATTTAAATAAATAAATTATTGTTGGCTTCATTCATGCGACTTATCGAAAAGAATTTGAACTATGGGCTATATTTAAATTTAATACAATCGGTATTTTTATTTTATCAATTTTGAGAAATTCGATAGATATTGAAATTGCTCATTAATAATGTATTACCTAATAACTACAATAATTAAAATAATTTCCAAACAGGTAATTTACAATAGAAAACGAAATCCTAAGAATGCCACCAGAAATATTAAATACTTCATTTTATTTCCTAATTTAATTGACCCACCTATTTATAGATTACATTTGGAAATTTTGTTAATAAATTATATACAGCCATGTTTTTAATAAACAAAATTTTCTTTTATCCGCTGATTACCGACTGGTTAACATATTTTACATTAAAATGGTTATACATTATAATGTATTGACCAGTGACTAAAAATTTACAAACTTACAATGTTTTGTACTAAATTATTCAATAGAGGCATCTAATAGTAAGTGAAAATTATTTTATACACTTCCTATATAAATAACAACTATTATTGACGTTGATTGAACAATTGTTTAATCAAACCAAATAAATTTTGATAAATTAACCATAATTTTCTTACATGCGCTGTCAAATTCGATTTCATTGATTTCTCTCCCATTAATATCACCATTTTTTAAAAGATACACTTTCTACATGCTCATGCAGTTAATAAATTTGAATCTTCAAAATGCATTTTGTACTTATTGTTAGTTTGCTGTAAACTATAATCATTAATACATGTCATAGCTAATTTCAAGTTTTAATTCATGCCATTAAATTGATATTTAATTAAATGGTGACAGACATGTCATTCTAATACAGAGTGTCCCAATAAAATAGAAATAAACATTTTTTTATAGTATATAATTGAATGTAATATAATAAAGGGTGGAAGTACAACAGCGTGACAAATCACTTTTTATAAACCAACATCAGTATTAGCGTGACGAATCGAATGTATGTATGAATGGGAATTTGCACCAGGACAACGATCCAAAAATTATGAGTCAAATGAGCGAAAATAACATTAATATAATATGTACGTACGCATATATTATTTTTATAGTACAATAAATTATAAACATGCCCGTCACGCTCCTTTTTTTGATAGATTGTAAATTGTAAATACCGAACGACTAAAATAGTTGTGATTACTGAATTATAAACTATGCACATAAAGTTAAGCATTAACTACCTCTACCTACTTAGAAAAAGCAGCCGATGTGTGTGGTGCGTATAAATACCGGATGACTGTAAATGATTACGACAAAAATTTTAAAGGTACACAATACAGTAATATTTGGCTATTATGCGAGTATTTTTAGATCAGTTTTATCGCAGTAAATAAATTGACGATATATTTGGCCTAAATTGTTAGAGTGAATAAAGAAAATACTTGACCTAAACAATTCACAAAATTTTTGTACCTTTTAAACTAATGTCGTATAATTTTTTATTAAAACGAGTGTCCTAATAATCTATTAAATGCTTTTATACCCTGTATATAGGTTTATTATTTTTTAATAGAGATTTTTGCATATCGGCAACATAAAATTTTTTTGAAACATTGTAACCGAAAATTTTTAAGCAGGTCGTAAAACTTTTTTATTTTTCGAGTAGATAATATGTAAAACGCAAAAGTACATGTATATTTCCGTGGGAACTTGGCAATGAAAGTATCTATTATTATCCGTTTTACTATCAAAAATTCACAACAGCGGTTATTGCTCGATCGTAAAAACGGCATTTCCATGAAACAAAATATAAATCATATAAAATTGACAATTCGTTTAAAAAATATGTACATACGTAAGTACCTGCTGTTAAAAGGTAATTAAAATTACGGATAAATACCACAATTGAGTACCTCTACCTATACATAGATGGAATTTTGATAGTTCTTAATCTACATGTTGATAACAATTTTTTACTTCCTTTAAATGGTCAATTGTTAAATGTGCGTGAGAGAAATAAAAAATAATAATGAAATCTAACTGATGTGGTAATTTCCTTTTTGACATATTAAGAAGCGGTTTTAAATTTGGCATTTTTTATCTGCTCCTTTTACCACATATCTATTAATGATTGCCTTCATTGGGTATTTATTGCTTTTACAAACCATTTCGTTAAACAAAAAAATATTTTATGTTACACCATTTGAAATCGATTTTTCGATCAAACAACAAAAAATAATAACATAAAAACAGATTCCCTAACTTACAACTCAGTTATTTACAGTAACAATAAAATTAGCATTTTCAATTACTGTTTTTTTTTTAATTTTTGTAATGTATTCCATTCGCCCCGTCATCGGCTCTATCCTATATTGAAATTGAAAATTCTCCGTACTTTTGAATATTCATAAATGCCGGCGAAATGTATGCGTATTTGCGTATTTCGACATTTGTTCGGTGTCAAGTCGAAACATTCTGTGAATTATAACACTTTAAATAGTATGTAGGACATGGAGTGATGAAAGTACGGAACCTGTTACGTTTGAATTAAAAATAAATTTCCGTTTGTGTATCTAAAATTTTATTCTCGAACGTCTTTTTGTAAATTTGCTTAACTTAATAAAAATTGGAAAGAATCGAAAACTACCGTTTGATCAGAACTTAGTACACTATAAATGTCAAAAATTGTATTTGGCAACGATTGTTGCTTTAATGTTATAATTTAATTTTAAATAAAACTAAGGTAAATTGCTCTATTAGATAGTTATTCCAAGTAATAAATCATTCTATTGACTAGTTAATTGATTTTCTTGGTTTAATTGGCTCTATCTTAAGTAGATAATTGTTTTTTCCTGAACAAATAAATAACTCTCTAGTAAGTTTATTAACATTGTTTATCGCATTAAAATTCGAGCAAAAAGGACACGAGAGTCTAGTTTTTAGATGATTTAAAGATTTTTTTAAACGGTTTTAAGAAAGAAAACGCATTTTATAATAAACGACAGTATTTTTTCAGGGAACGTTTTCGACAAACAAAATTTTATTTTTATTACTAATGTCGTAAATCGACCAGTGAACTTTTTCCAAGACGAGATTTTATTCGAGACGCAGTAAGCAGTAACCTCCGGTTGAATAAAATTTTGTACATTGAACTTTAATAATTCGCGTACACATAAACGCCTCCGAATAAGAGCGCCAATAAAATCGTAAAGTTTATAAAAAAAATCGTAATGGAATCATTCCGTATTTAGTATTATTAGTAACTTGAACATAGCAGTCCTAAAATAGATTTTCTTGATTCACTTATAGTGCGACAGGAATAACTGTAGGCTTGATATGCGCGAGTTTTAAATGCTATAAAGCACCGCGCACCTTCATCTCTCGCCTGCTAGTTCTAAGTAGACTCAAACAATATTACATTTCCTTCAATATCTTCGGGGATTAAAGATATGATCATTTAAATAAAATGTTTGAATAAACTTTCCAATAACTAGATTGATAAAAAATGCAACTTTAGTACCTTGGTCATTTACATGTAATTCAAAACTCCAACTACAATACACGGATGTGACTGTATTATGATCGATTTCGTTATTATGAATTTATGCGAGACGCAGTAAAGTTGGTAAGTACTGCTATTCAGAGCGAAGGAAAAGTGAAAGTCCGTAGGTTAGATCCCGATCGATTTGGAGGTTGTTTTGTTTGCGGTTTCGGTTTTGTATTATGAATTTTATGGGTACTTCTTGCTAATGGAAATTGTCGTACGAGAAACGATCTAAAATTTTTAAACATTATTTTATACCTCATTATTTTGTTATTTACTCCTTTTAAATCATTTGTGAATTGTTTTTTTTTCCACGCGCTTTTTTAGTATCGCTGATATTACTATGATAATTGGATTTGTTTTTACAATTTTCATTTTTTCATTCATTTGTAGAAACGTTTCATCACGTTCCAACTGATAATAATTATCTCTGTACTAGTCATTTAAAAGTTATGTTAATACGATTATATATCTTACATTCGCCACGTGTAAACTGGGTGAAAACATACATGGTAACAGTTATTTGGGCAAATATCAATTTTCTATAAAAATAAAATATTGTTTGTTCTAACTATATACATACATGTTTTCTCTATGTATTTATACCTACTGGCATAATACAGGTATTAAATAAAAATGAATCTAACATTATAAATTTATCTAATAAAATTTAGATGTATAACAACTATGTTAAAAGGTCAATAAAAATACCAAATCTTAAAACTGTGAATATAGTAAAGACATAAATTTGTATTTTTATGTATATTCTAAATATCACATTTTAAATATTCCAAAAGAAATAATTTAATGTGTCGTAAATTAGCAAATAGGAAAGATCAGGTTTGTTTATTTTATATTGATTTCTTTTATGTTTTAATATTCATAGTATTTTAATTTTTACAGTCTAATAAATGTTAATTAAAACAAACGCATTAAGAAGGGAGGATTTTTTTCGATACAAATTTATATTACCTATCGTTCAATCTAACACCTAACCATTTATTATGTACGCATATGCTTAGTGGAGAACAAATAAACGGATTTCAAAATAAATTTATTTATTTCACTAGTTCAGGGTCGTCGAATTTTAATAGAATGCCGACTTTTGAAAACATTGCTGGTTTTCTGAGCAATTTTTGCATATGCAAATGTTTTGTAGACGATTCCACTATATTCTAATGTCGATTGAATACATTTGAACTAGCATTGACTTGCTTGTTAACCGTTAATGTTTGATTTTTTTTTGAATCGATAAAGGGCATTAAAAACAACATGTCTGAAACTGATATGCTTAAACAGCGTATAGACTAATTAAAGTTATTTTTTAAATGATATGTATTTACAGGATGATGAATTGTTGCTAATTATAAATTGTGATTCCTATAAGAAATTTATGAACTGTGCATAAAATTAATTTTTGGTTAATAGAGGAGGTTTTTTAACTTATTTTTCCTAATGGAAAATTTTCTTAGCTTGATGTTTTGTATAAATTTTGCATTTTCTCTTTTAATTAGCCCAAAAGTTGATAGAAACTTTATCTGTTTATTTTGTAGATATTTCCAATTTATTTCCATTAAAGTATTAAAAATGAGAAAAACACTCATTTTATCATACAGAATTTCTAAACCACTTTAATTAAAACCTACATCGATTTTATACGAACTTTTTAATGAAACTTAAAAAATCAATTTCCCAACACAAAGGATGACTTTGACAAAAAATAAACATACCCTTAATGCTACATTGACATTTTACAAAAAATATTTTTCTACATTTTTATAAAAACAGCAAAGAAAAACGTTCCAGTAATGAGTTTCAGCGACCATTTAACCCGCATAGAGTCGGTCAGATATGTGAAAAAATCGAACAAAGCACCGCAGGACACTTCCTCCGTCGAGGACTTCAAAACGCCGCTGGCCGAACAAATTCCCGATCACTACGCTGCCAGCGTGCCCGATCACATCCCCAAAATAACGATCCACGACATTCCCACCGTCAGAAAAATCGGAGTCAAAGAGACTATAAAAATTTTAGCGAAACTGTTCGATTGCAATTACTACACTTGCAATTACCCCCAATTCTGGTTTCTCGATTTCATCACTGACTGCTTGTGGAAGGTACAAGACGAGTTCCAGTTTCCCGTGGAACAACAGATTATTATTCTCGAATGGATATTGTACATATTTAATTTAATAAGAGGTAAGTTAGGCGCTGGTTAGTTGGTATTCTAGATTTCAAATTATTTCAGCTCCGCGCTTGAACTTATCGAGAAGTAAGTTCTTCCAGATATTCGAGGAGATATTGAAAGTGGCCGAGGAGCACATAGAATCTGGGTGCGAGTTTCTACCGCTTCCTGATGAGCTAGTTTCTCTAAAAGAAGACACCCAGGCTAAGACCGAAGACATCAGCATCGAGTCTTCGAGTAGTTCTCTGGAAGTGTTTCCTAAAGAATTGAAAAAGAACAGTTATCTAGCCGTTGAACTGGACGATGGCACTAGATATTTCGAAATGCCCAGCAAAATTTTCCCTTGGGACACCGACGACGACCGTAGGTGGATTCGTACATTCCTCTCCTAAATTTAATTTCATTTCGCTTTATTTTATTAGGGTTGAGTTCGACCGTGGAGACCGTATCAGAAAACGAAATTAAATTCATAAAAGACGAAAGTATAGAGAATATCATGGAGCACCAAAACGAGAAAGAGTTGGAGGAAATGGACGATGAAATATTCGAAAGTTTCTACAAACCAGATTCAGCCACACCATCAAGATTCGGTGGATCGGATGATTCCTCGGAGAGCGATTCTTTGTCCATTTCTTACGAAAGCGAAAACGCAGAAGAAGATGAAGACGAAGATGTTGAAACAGGTTAAATTTATCTTATTATTTCTTCCATTATCGACTATAAGATTTCTCTACAGAGCGACCAACTTGGATTATAACAAAAACCAAGGCTTCAGAACCCTGCCCTGCAACTACATATGAGCCGCACACGGGAAATAAAGTGAAAACTGGTAAAGAAAAGGAAGAAGAAGCAATTCAAGTAAGCCATCAACAATACCAACAGTACGCTTTAAAAATAAATTGCATTCAAAGGCATGGTATGATTACCATCTGTGGCAATTCAGGAAAAGGGCTCTCGATGATTCTAAAGTAGGTCTGGCCCCGTCCGAGGAGAATATCGAGCGCAAGAAATTTCAGGAAAAGATGCAAATAGAATCGCAAGTAGAGTCTCAAACCGGCATTCAACACAAGCTGTGGGAATACGTGAATTCCGTGAAGGATCAAATGACGGAATACAAAGAAAATCGATTTGTCAATACGTGCGTTTTAATGGCCATCAAGGATATAGTTTATAATTAGTAAGTTTCATTATTACGCATATAAAAGAACAGTTCTAACTCACGAAGCATAAAAGGGCGTTCTCAGAACATCTGGCAGGATTATCGACAATTAAATTCTACCACATGACTCCTGGCTGAGCTTAAATTGTCGGATTTTATTAGATACGATGACTCTTTGTGATTTCCGTATGAGCAGATCTATGATGAAGACATTGCCTTTTTTTCAGTTTTTATGACTCGTTCCAGTTTAGCGTGGTATCGTTGACCCATCGTTATTCCCACGTACTAATCACTCAACGATTGAACACGCATTTACCTTTTCCAAAAATGAGTTATGGATTAGTATCGCGACCTCAACCAGCTACGAAAACTGTTAAAAGACGAGAATCCAGTGACTGTACGTATTTTCATATTTTACTAGACATTTTATTTACTCTTCATAATAGCCCTAGAGATATAACCCTATTTGTTTTGTAATTTTACGGTCATTCCTTCAGCTCTGGCAGGAAAAGAAAAAAAGCACATAGAAATAATCAATTGGAGCGACGAGAATATTCTCTTTCCGTTGAACAATGCTGTGAATCAAGACTTTTTCCACAATTTATTTCCAGCAAAAGCAAAACAAAAAAAAAATTAGTTGCACAATAATTTATTTATTAAAACAATAATTGCACAATTTAGATAATGTGATTTAATTGTTTTCTGTGAGGAGGAAAGTTTAAATGAATATCAATACAAGTCCTGCTAAGGCTAAAAACATCAAACTGATTAGGGATGTGACTGGTCCAAAAACAGAACTTACAAATTCCGAAAGAGAAATCATAAAACACATGTAAAAAATTGGCGATAAAATTAATTTATATTTGTTATCTGAGTGTTTGTGAAACTACGCACCGGCTGAACTTTTGTAATTTAAATTTAAGAAGCCTCTAGCTAAAATTTTTATTTATCATTTTATAGTGCAGATAATTTTTTGTTCGCTTTTATCGCCGTCACAAAAGCGTAGTTTTCGCATTCTCCTTTGTGGGCCCCTTACGTATCAAGTATTTAGTAAAAAAAGGTAGTGAAAATTTATATTTGGAAAATTTCGAAATATAACAAAGATAAATTGGCAGACGAAATATAAAAGAAAAACACACGAGAAATCTTAAGAGTTTGTTATCGAGATTATTATAGAGAAATATAGAGGTGGATAGGTCATTTTCATACGGATATTATCTCGCGTATCCACTTACGATTGGCATGCATAAATAGAGTAATAAATGGTTCATAACTTAAAGTAGCGTGCGAATATGTCATTACATGAATAATATACGGGTAAAGCAATTTTAAAATTGCATTTACATTATTTAAATTCATATATGCACATACATACTCTAGTATATTATTTTCATGTATTTCAGTTTTGTTTGCACTTTAGGAATAATAATACCTAACGTAACTTATTAATTATTAGTTTGAAAATTGAAAAATGTAGAGTAACCTCGATATAGGTAATACTGTAATTTTCAATTGACTACTATATTTAGCGGGTTTCTGGTAAAATTTCGTCTTTATATAAAAGGCACTAAAAGTAAATTTTTTATCAGTTATTGTCTAAAATGAACGTCTACTTTTGGATTAGTTATTCGATGATAGCAAAACTAGAACTATAATGATATCTTGAATTTCACAACACAATGTCGATAACAAATTCATGAATAACTCAATTGCTCCAATCAAACATTCCCGCCAGTTTTATTAGACAATAATTTTTAGTTTTAAAATATTATGAAACACTCCAATTTAACCACATTGTTTTGATTTACGACGAAACTTTATTGGTGGCAGTTAAATGTTTTATGAATGAAACATTCTATTGATTAACTCATTACGTTTTAATAAATTTGTTCATTTTTATAGTTCCAGAACCACTTCATTACAATATTCTTTCAAAAAGCAATAAACCAGTATCTTAGAGATATTTGCAAATTGTTGATTTTTATTAGGCCAGCATAAAAAAGAAATAAACAAATTTTGTTAAAACATTTTGGTATTTCATGATTATTTTATTGTATAATGGATGAATAATAATAAAGTGTAATGGTAACACTGGATTACTGGGAATTATTTCTATTAGGTGGATGTTTAAATTAGTTCATTATTGCTTACTGAATGGGCCTATTTATAAATTCATTAAAAACAGTAGATTATTAATAGAAACAAACTCTATGCAATTTTGTTTCAATATAACTGGAAAATATTATTTCGCCGATTCGGCTCAGTTTATTCCATTTAGACTTTTGTTTATTTTTTCGTTAGCATTATCGACCTTGTGACTTATTTTTACGTTTCACCTTCAGATCTCTATCTAGCCTGTTGAATATTTTAAAAATTATTTTACTATCTCTCAAATTAAAAGAGAGAACTCTGCTAAACGGATTTAAAGTGACAATTTATTACAATTATTTTATTATTTTATCTGCCATTTCGAGTGTTTTTTATATTATTATACACAGGTGCACAGCACATTTTTTTGAAGTTATATTAGATAATAAACGTATAAAAAAAGTTGCCGTGCTCCATTAAAGTAAAAATGTAGGTGTTCCTACGACGATGTGGCCATTTCTTTCGCGAACGAACGGTTCGTTTCTTTCCAACAACACAACAGAATCAACAAACAACAACAACAAGGATAAATGCGACGATGCATCCACAGCAGGCCGAGCATTCTTCTCCGCATTCCACGCTGTCTGGTGTTCCACCAGCCGTAGAAAAATGCATCGTAAAATGAAACATTTTATTTTACAACTGTTTGTTCTCCGGTCGAATACGAATTTTTTACCAACATTAATTTCGAACCAGACGGAACTTACGAGATTCACCTGCTACGCATTAATATTTTTTAAGGAACTACAGCGAAAATAACTTCATAGAACTTCATAGTTTGGAATAGTAGGAACGATTTAATAAAAACTAAAAGAGCGAATGGATAAAAATCTTGCCTTTCTTGCTGTAGGTTATAAGTCGGAAAAACGATGAAAAATCGATTTCCACGAACGAAAATATTGGAGGCGTTTTACTCGTATATTTCTAGACTATTAGTAATGACCTGGCGTCGGATCGTGTATACAAAACAATATAAAACAGATCGCTATCGATTCGGTATGGGTCCAGTAAACAGGCCGCTTGCACATCACCACAGAGCAAAAATAACAGCAATTACTTAATGTGCAACGAAATAAAATTGTTCAATTTTACACGTTCTCGTTGGAAACTCGACGAATAGTGGAAGTATTTATCAAATGATCGTTAAATTACTCAACAACGATTATACCAACATAAATTTATTCATAATCCCTCGAGGACAGACTGATCCCCTAGTTTATATTAACAAACACCCCTTTATTACTTCATACAACAAAATTCGAACCCCCATAAATTAACGCTCTATCATGTGTGCAAGTTTTGCGTTATACAGAATACGTATGAAAAATAGGGAAAAAAAGGATACAATAGAGTTATTATCACCTTGAGAGACTATCCTAGATAAGAAATATACAAATAAAATATATCTTTTCCATTTAAGTGTTACATGTTCCGGAATATATTAACATAATTGACTTAAATATAAAACCGTACTTTTTTTAATTTGTATATTATATGAGCACGCTTCGAATTTATCGTCGCGTCAGTTATCGCAGGAAAAACAAGAACATATTTTTATGTATTTTCTAAACAGGGGGCGTTTTCGAATTGTTGTTTAGCATTTTATCATTCATCGTTGAAAAAAATAAAAGTAGGTTTAATAAACACGCAAAAGAAATAAATTACCTAAACATATGAGTAAATCAAGGAAGTGGATAATCGCAAAAATCAAAGCTGCCAATTTTGCCGTTACATAATTAAAATTTTTTGAATAAAATTTATTTTTAATACTAATTTCAGGGACTAAAAAATATCCCTATTTCTTCCTTGGTAACATGAAAGCAGTTAGCATTACCACGCCTAATAAAAATGTATTAATCTTGATTTATATCTACATAAATGAATTTAATTAATCCGTAATTGCTAACTTTTAATAAAAAAAACGTTGTTATAATCAATAAAGGGTTAAATCCAAAACAGGGCGTGAAATGAGAGATATCCCACACACCCTGTTTTTAAAATAGGTACACACAATTTTTAATACACATTAAAATTAATGCGTAAATAATGCGTAATAAAATCACTTTTAAAAATTAGTTTGCAATCAATAAATTCTCCTTTCTACATTAATTAAACCTGTAGAGATAATTCTATTTTGGAAATTAAACAAACATTATATTTTTCACGAAGTTATTAGACTACTTACGCATACGAAAATAAATATTAAAACATTTTCATTTTCGCAAAACAACCTTTAAGGTCAACAAAACATCTCAAGGTGAAAATCATCTACCGACACGTAAAATACGATTAACGAATTCGAAATGTAAACACTCGCTGTTTTGTCACTAAAGTTTTTTAGAATACTCATAGATAAAAGAAAATGTAAAAAAGTTTTAGACAAATATAAAGATGATGATATTACCTGTCTTTTGTATTTTTTTATATCCTTCGTGTACGCCAGATTGTACTACGTAGAAGTAACTGATAAAATCTGAAAAAAATAAGGAAAACCATAGATAAAACAATTAAATAAAATCGATATTTTTGCTAACTATCAAGGAATTAGTGATTAAATTCGATTCAGTATTTTTTTATATTTATTTATATCTGCGCAACTTTATACAAAGAGTTTTCTCATTAAATTTTATTAAAAATTGCATAAGAAGTTGAATCTATAGCTTGCATCTCTCCCGGATATTTCAGACACCTCGAAACGCATCCAAACCACATGAAACATCAATTAACCGGTCTAGCACTCTAGCCACTAAAATACGACAAGGAACATATAGCCAATCGCTCTTTTTCGGCTCATTATCCGCAATACAACGTGACAATGCGGCATGCCGCACCGGGTGCAACATGGGCCAAATTTCGATTACGAAGCTTCGGAACCGAATACACAATACATGCACACACCTCGCGAATCTAGGTAAGTAGGTAACCTCAATGTGCGCCAATTCGCCAAATGGACGGGGGCCCCCGGCCGCTGCATACCACTTCGATACCGCTCCGAAATAGAGATGATGCCGGCATATCAGCCTAATTGACGAAACTCCAGGAAAACAATCGTTATCAAACGTTCAAACAACTGATATATTGTTAAGTAGGACAGCTTAACTAATTGGAGCAAGCCGCTAGCACCTTAATTCGTTGCACGAAACTTATCGCTGGAAACCATTTAAGTCACAAGATGCATCCATTTGAACGGTTGTGCTTTATATAGAAGTGTGAAAAAATTACCACAGTAACACGCACCCTTACCCAGAAATTAATGCAAATTACCCCTATTCGCATTGTTGATGATTTATTATTGGGTATTGATTTTTCCATGATTTATTAATAAGCCGCTCCTAAAAGGCTTTAGGGAAGATTATTGACTAACTATTTGGCAGATTATTGTTTAAATGCCCTAGCTTTAAGCTCGAATGCTTAAATGAGTACTTTCAAAATTAAGTGTAGCGATTTAAGCAAGTAACGTTCGACCCATCTCTACACCGCTCCGAAGTAGACTGGATTTCGGTATCTTTTACGAAACCTCTCAAATTCCCAATTCGCATCGCTTTGGGCTCTGGTCG